CTCAGCCCTTAAAAATCCATTCATTCAACAGGTGAAAACTTTGGGCAGACTGAGGCTGACCCACCCTTTCACTGGCAGACCTCACCTCCAATCATGTCCCGCCCCCTTGAACGCTCAGCCAATAAGACAGCTACCCGTCCCCTCCCCGTTACCATGGTGCCCCAGCCTCTCACCAGACGTGCGCCGGCTCGTGCAACCGGTGGAAGCGAGTGGCGAAAGCCAGCGAGGTGATCGCGGCCAGCAGGACCCACCCCACGGCCTGCCCGGGGGGCTTTGGTCTCGGTGGCGGAGGCTGCTTAGAGCACTGGCCGCCATCCCCGACGGCCAGCTCCGGCCCTGACACTGCAACCCCGGTAGCCTTCGCCCTGCTGCGGCCCCTACGGAGGCGAAGCCCGGACTCAGCCAGGCCTACGCCCACCGCTGCCGGGCACATCCTTACTCCTTTCTATCCAGGCCAAGAGACAGACCCTTTCTCCTCGCCCGCCTCAGCATGAGGCGGCCTGGGAAATGTAGTTCTCCCTTTGCTTGCCCCGCCCCTTAACCTGAGCAAAGTTGATAGCGCGAGGCATTGTGGGAATAGTAGTTCTTAGCCGGCACCCCGGAAGTCTTGAGTAAGGCACGGGACACTATGGGAGAGGTAGTTCTACATGCTGTCGCGTTAGGAAGGAGAAAGTGAGAGGAAAGAGTAGGAGGGACTACTAATCCCAGGAGCGCGAGGGAAATCCCAGACTATAAAAGGAATCTAATCCAACAACTGTCGTTTGACAAACTGTGGCCCTCACAAGTCAAGTGGTTTGCACACGCTGTCCGGCGGATCCCAATCGTGGAGTTTCTTGAGCACAGAGAGCTCCAAGATGCAGGCAGGAAAGGTCTGTGCACAACGAAAGGGGAGGACTTAACGGAGAAGCAAAGGTGCCTGGGGCGGAGGGAAAGGTGTCCAAGCTTCTGATTCTTTCCCCTCTCCCTTTCCCCTCCCCCGCCCGCCCCAGAACTAGGCCTAGCTACCGGAAGGCGCCCTTTGTCTCTCCGAAGTAGAAGAGCGAGTCCAACACACTCTAAACTTGCGGTGGCCCCACTGCACTCTGGGATATGTAGTTTCGATGACTGGAGCGCTTTAAAAAACCTTCTACTTGGTCTAGCCCTACGAATGTACGGAGTCGCACCACAGTGCCCTCTGGTGGGAGGGACCATTGAGGCCCAGAAAGGGGCTTGTCCTTATGCGGACAAGAAAAAAAATCAGAACTAATTATAATCATTTCTGTAGTGCTTTAAAGTTTGCAAACTACGTGACAAACGTCATTTTATCCTCTCAAAACCTAGGAGATAGGTGGGATTATTATTCCCATTTTGTAAATGAAGAAACTGAGGCACAGAAAGGTTAAGAGACTTGTCCACAGTAGCACAGCTAGTAAGTAACAGAGACAGGATTTTAACTCAGGCGTTTATCGGCGGTCTATCCGCCTAGCTGCTCCAAAACCTAGAAACTAGGTCTCCCGACTCATATCAAGGTCTTAGAGATTAATTAATGTCCCTCCTTCCAGAGGCCTTTCCCAATTCTTGTAATTTAGAGGGTGTTTTTTCCTGTATGAATAAGTGTGGTAGAATGGTTAGTGAACTAGCCTCGGAGCTAAGAGGACCTGGGTTCAAATCCTGATCCTGATGTATACTGTCTGGCAGTTCCTAAGATGAGGGGGTGCTGACCTGCACTGGTAGAAGGTGAAGTCACAGTCCCTATTTCTGTCCTGCATGACTTACCTGCTCTAATACAGTGTGAGTTCCTTGAGGACTTTGGTATTTGTATTTGTGTTCTTGAGGTCTAGCACATAGTAATAAGTGCTTGTTGATTGATCTCTTTGCGTGGTTGACAGGGCTGAGCCTGATTAAATTGGTCAAGTGTCCAGTTTCCTCATGTTCCCCTTTACTTTGAACCCCCGACCCCAGCACCTTGACTTTCTTCCCAGTGGCCCATGCTCCTAAATTTAGTAAGCCTCTTTGTCTCCTGCAGCCAGTGTTCTCACCCAGTCAACCCTGAAGAAATTAATCTAATAAACTAGAGAGCATTAAAGAGTTAGTTACTGATAATACGGCAGCTATTATCCTGCCCATCGCAGGAGAGGAAAAGGGTGGTATTAATGGAAAAAAGGCTAGACCTTTAATCAGAAGACCTGAGTTGGAATGGCAACTCTAATACTTGTCAGCTGTGTGACCCTGGAAAAGTCACTGAATCTCCTTAAGCCCCAGTTTCTTCATCTGTAAAATGCAAATAATATTTCCACTACCTAAAACAACTTTGTTGTAAAAATGCATTGTTAAAAAAAACTTTATTAAAGTGCAATATAGGTGTGAGTTATTATTATAGGCGCCTCTAAAGGCCACATTGCTTTAACCCATGAGAATGACTGTCTAATGGTGACATTACAGGTGGTAGAGATATTTGAGGATTGCCTTTTCCCTCTCCATCCCAAAAGCAAATTATGGCAAGATTGGAGTGTACTGGCTTCACTGAAGTCATACTCCCCAAAAGAGGGAAATAGACCTAATTTGAGGAGCTTTGAGGACATTTCTCTCCCCCAAAATATCTCCTTCATTGTTTTGTGAAGTTCTCCTCCTCAGCAGCAAATCCCCCAGTGATTCCTAAAGACTTTCCCAACCAAAAAATATCTTCCACTCTGCAGCCTCAAACTGGGTCATTATCAAATTTATTCTTTGTCATTCCTATTACATTTTTAAAATGTTACCTTGTGTCAGAAACTTGGCAAATAGCAGATCATCTGTTTGGTTCTTAAAGCCCTTCACAGAGTGCCAATGGCTCCTTTCCAGTCTTCTTATACTTTTCTTTCCTCCATTTACTTACTCTACTATCCAGAGACACTGGCCTTACTGTTCCTCAAACAAACCACATCTTAACGTAATGCCTGGAACACAGTATAAATGCTTACTGGTTTGACACAAAGGACTCAGGTACACTCTGGGAGCCTTCCTCAGAATTAGCTGGCTCTTCCATTCAGGAAAGCTGGGAAAATATAGGTATATCTGGTATACCCTACAGGCAATTTGGTGACTGAGTGGATAGATTGCAGGGCCTGGGGTCAGGAGGATCCAAGTTCAGATTCAGCCTCAGACACTCACAGTCTGTGTGACCCTGGGCAAGTCACTCAACCACTGTTTGCCTTAATTCACTGGAGAAGGAAATAGCAAAGCAGTATATTATCTCTGCCAAGGAAAACCCTATACAGGGTCACAAAGAGTCAGACATGACTGAACAATAAAGTATACCCTTCAGACCAACTCCTCACTTGAAAACATGCAGTTCATGCTACACACGGGATAGTTTTATTCAAAGGAGAGAAACTGAATAGAAATCAGAGAATGAATAACCATTTATCCCAAAGATGTATGTAAATCCTAAGAGTTACTTATGGTCAATCACAAATATGAGTTCTTCTAGCCAATATCCTTCCCCGCAAGTCCTGTCATGTCCAGCTGCTCCCATCAGTGGAAAGGGGATGTTTTTTTCTTTTCCTCTTTCTTCCTGTCATTCCTAATGCCTCCATAGCTTGGCTACTGAGTCCTCAATTTTTCAGGCCAGGCTAGTAAGTCTCCATAGAGTTCCAGTCACTCTATTTCATTTCCCCAGTGCAAAAATAAATGCAAAACTATTTCTTGAGGCCACCATGATTCTTTTCCCTTTTTTTGGAGGCAATCAAGGTTAAGTGACTTGTCCAGGGTCACACAGCTAGTGTCTGAGGCTGGATTTGAACTCAGGTCCTGTTGAGTCTAGGGCTGGTTCTCTACCTACTGCACCATCTAGCTGTCCCCCTAGTCTTCTAATAACCAGTTGATAAATAAGCATTTATTAAGTTGGTGCTATATACCAGGCATTGTTCTTTGTTCTGTCCACACAAACTCCTTTTACTCTCTGTTACAGGCCACGCTTATATCCTTATTTCCCTCAGTTGCTCAAATGGGAAATGGAAGAGGCAAATATCCCAGCTCTCCCTCTACCAGTGAGGAAGTTAATTCATTGACGACCCCTACTCTATTCCAATCGGTATCAATCAATTTGATATGATTCTAAGTTCTGTGAGCTGTGAGCTGCAGATGGTAAAATCACTTTCATAATCATGGGAAGCTGGCAAAGGCCCTCCACCCTTGTTTTTCCTTGTCATGGTGACCAAGCCCAGTGTGGCAGAGGGGACTCGACTACATGGAAAGCCCCCCAAAATTATTTTTGTGCCTCTAAACCATTCTGTTGTCCAACATGAGCAGGTATCCACCTTACGACCACCTAATCAGTGGAGATATTCCCTGCTTTGCCCAACTCGTGACTCTGCTGATATATTGTTTTGCTTTTTTTAGTTTATGTGTCATATGTCAACCAATGAAATTATTCTGTATCTGGTATAGCTGTTCTTGAATGTTTAAATATCAACCCTATAAAAATAGGGCCCTGGAAAGGAGGGGGCATCTTAGATCACGAGGAAGATCTGAAGTCTACTTCATAAGAGCGGACCGTGGATCTTTTAGTAAAGTGCCATTGGCTTAGAGCTGTGCCTCAGTTTCTCTTATTGTAGGTTGGATAATTTTTATCCCCACACCTATAATCATTGTCCTTTTCCTAGGGTCCAGTTTTAAAATATGGATACCCCCATTAAACTCCTAACATCTTAGAGTGAAAGAATTTATCTAATTCTTTAGAAGTGGAAAAGCACTAAGGATCTGGGAGGAAAAAAGTAGTGAAAGGCCATAGTGGGGAAGGGTGGGGGTGCCAAAAAGACACACATTGCTTCATAGTTGTGCCTTAGGCCAACTCATTTCATACAGGAAATGAGTTCAACAATCCAGTGGGAAGAATGTTGAGTAAAGGAAAACCCACCAAGACTGGGACATTAGATTTCCTATCTTTCCCAGCCCCAAAGGCTGACCACAGCATCTAGCCAAGTAGGAGAATACTAGCTTCCCCATTGGCTCCTGCGCTCCACCCCCTTATTAACTCCACCCTTCACCAAGCAGATTTTGAGGGAAGTTGCTCTGTTCACAGCACAATGGCAGTTCCTGAGAAGGTAAGACTTTTTCTAGGAGCCCCAGCGAAATGGAGGCCCTTTGACTCTCAGTGAAGACAACTTTCTGTCCTCAGAAACACACTTCTTCCTTTCCCAGTCCACCCCAAAAGCAAATTGCTGCAGGATTGGCATAGATTGGCTTTACTGAAGTCACAGTCCACAGAACAGGGAAATAGACCCAGGTGACCTAATTTGAAGAGCCCTGGAGCCTATGTCTCTTCCTCAAAATACCTTCTTCATTGTTTTGTGAAGTTCTCCTCCTCAGCAGCAAATCCCCCAATGATTCCTAAAGACTTTCCCTACCCAAAAATATCTCCCACACTGCTGCCTTAAATTGGGCCATTATCAAATTCATTCTTTGTCATTCCTATTACATTTTTTAAGTGTTACTTTGTGTCAGAAACTTGACAAATAGCAGATCATCTGTTTGGCTCTTAAAGCCCTTCACAGAGCACCAGCGGCTCCTTTCCTACCTTCTAGTCTTCTTAAACATTTCTCTCCTCCATTTATTTATTCTGCTATCCATCTGGCTCCTTTTATCATCTCTCTTAAAGATCCAAATGTACCTTGGGAAGCTCTCTTTGCTCCCCTAAGGTTTTCAGTGACTTCTCTCTCAAAGCAATGAGGTTCTTCCTATTCTGCAGGCCCATTGCCTACCTGGAGAGGGAAGCCAGGCATCCCACTCCACCCACCCTGGAAAGAGTTCTGTGACTAAGACCAAAAAGTACAATTAAGCTTCTCTATTCTCTCTCTTCTCAGCCGGTCCTCTATTCTTTTTTCCGAAGCTCTTGTTCCTGGAGAGTTCGAATAGGTAAGAATGCCCATTCCCATTCCCATATTCCTGGAGAAACTAAAAGGGAGCATGGGGGTGGGGGGTGGAATCAGGGGAATCCAGCAGGTGTACTGCTTTGGGGCAAAATTGACAGCACATCTCTTCTACAGTGTTTCCAATCTGCTAAGCCTTACCATTTGCTGGGTTCCTACATAGAAAAACAGAAAGGGGGTGAGGAAGGGCATTATTTTTCTTAGTAATTGATTCTTCTCTTCACCCTTCTCTCTAGAGCCCCCTTAAGTAATGTTACACCGACCCTAGTAGAATGTAGTTATGCTAGCAGCGCCATCTTTGCTGGGGGCCAGGAACAGAGCCTGGTTTTTATCGTTATTGCTTTCCTTGCCAGGCGCTTATCTTATTTGATTTTACTAACTAATCAGACTAGGCAGGTCAATGTCCTGCAGAGAAAGACCTTTAGATTCCCTCAGAGCCTGCTGGGAAAGGAGGAAGGATCTAATAGAGGAGGCAGTCATTAATCTCTGAACGAGAGGTGGGGGTGGGGACCAGGGGAGAGCAGGGCCATGCAGTTGTCAGAGCTAGCCAGACATTGCTCTAATGGCGCCATCTTTGTGCCATAATTGTTAACTTACTGAGTCAGGAAGAACTGTGTTCTTATCTCATTTCTGATACTAACTAGCTGTGTGTGACCATTTGCAAATTATTTCATCCCCTCCAGCTACCTTATCTGTAAAATGGGGACATGAAGTTCTAGGAGATAATCTATGGAAAGTTATTTGTAAACCTTCAAGTACTATATAAGTAAAAGTTATTATTTAACTGTAAAGTAACACACACACACACACACCCCCCCAACAACCAGCACCCCAATAACAGCTTTGCCTTTTAAACCTAGCAGCAACCTTCTGTTTTATAGGTAGAATCTAGGAATCTTGGAATCTTAGAGGCCCAAACCCCTCTTTATTCAGCAGCCTCTTTTACAGCATCCCTGTCTGGGGTCACACCAGCTTTGCTTGAGCATTACCAGTATCAGGGAGTTTGCCATTTCAAAAGGAAGACTTTTATTTTTCCAACAGCTAAAACCAACAAGAAGTTTTTCCTTATTCCAAATGGAAATCACCTTCCCTGGAACTTTCCACTCCCTGGTCCTGAGGGAGACCACTAATCTTTACATGAGGATGGCTGCAGGCTACATATTGACTTAGTTTTAAAATATGATATCTATTTTTCACTGTATTTTTATTTATTTTGTTAAATATTTCCCAATTATGTTTTAATCTGGTTTGGGTCAAACGTAGGAGCCTGTGTGTTGATACCTCTGCTCTAGAACAGGGGTTCTTAACCTTTTTTTAGTGTCATGGACCCCTTTGGCATTCTAGTGAAACCTATGGACCCCTTCTCAGAATAAATGTATGTTTTTAAAGGCATAGAATACATAGAATTGAAAAGTAAGCCAACTGTACCAAGACATAGTTATTAAAAAAATTTTTTAAACAAAATCCCAGATCCCAGGTTAAGAACCCCTGCTCCAGAACAATTCAGAATAGATCTCACCCCTCTTCCACATGACAACCCTTCAGATCTTCGAAGACTGATAATCAAGAGAGTTCTGGGTTATGGGACCAACAAGATGGTGGACTAGACATGTCATGAGTGGCTGCATCACACTTGAAAGAAAAGAGACTAAAACCCAATTAGGGTCAGTCCTTCCCATCAGATACTACCTAGGGCAGTGACTAAAGCCAAAGAACCGTAAGTCTCTCAATGTAGGAGGAAGGAGGCAGCTTTACAGCCAAATTCTCAGTGTAATCACCCCAAGTAAAGAGGGAAGAGTCAGAAAGTGATCGATGGGGAAATATAAGGAAGGAGGGAAAGGCTAACACCCCAAAGATTTCAGGAAGAAGAAAAACCTAGACCACAAGTAGATAAAGCAACAGAGAGCATCCTCAACCTGAAAGGGAAGGATGAATACTAAATCTTTGAAGACAATACAAAGTTCTTAACAAATATTACAAAAGAAAAGTAAACTAATGCCTAATGAAACACAGAATCCTGTATAATCTCAAGGAGGCATGGAACTGCAACAGGAAATTCCCGAATAGTTCAAAAGAAACTAGGAATATGATGAAAGTTATAGTTCTCAATGCAGCAATAAAAAAAATCAGTTATCAGATTAGAAAAAAACTGAGTCCAATTCCTAATCTAGGAACTACTAACTTCAGCTTAATATACCAGTGGTTCAGAAATTTGTTCATCTTCTGAGATGTAGGTGAACCATTTGGGACACATGTGGAACAATGAATATTAATCTTCTCTACCTCCCAGCTTCCCTCATCCAATCATTTTACCATCAACATTCTACCTCAATTAAATGTCTATATACCCAAAACATCACTAATCTGTTTTCCGAACGCTTGCTAGCCATGCTGTTTTCCTTCTAAGTTGAGGTATTCAGAACCCTCCTTGTCTAAAATTGGTAAAGGCAAGAAACTCAGGTTTCTGGACACACTAAGAACATCACAAGCTATTTGGGAAACTTTACTAGGATAGACTAATGAGAAAAGGGGTGGAACTTACCCATGAGGACTTGGTTTCCTCTTTTCAACATTGATTTATGGTCCTGAGCAGATTACCCTAATCAGAGAAAGACTTTGAGAAATACTGTGTTCTGAGGTAAGATGAGGTACTGCCATTTTAAAAGCACCTTCCCTTGAGTGGTTGGTAACACATCTTAAGCTGCTTTAGAAAGCAACAGGTTTATTAATTAGAAGAATTAAGTTCAAATGCCTCTATCACAAGGAGAAATCACTTTCACCCCTTTTGGGCTTCAGTTTCCTCATCTGTCAAATGAAGAGGACTGGGCTACATGATAGCAAGATCCCTTCCAATTCTATGAATCTATGCAATAATCTGTTTCATCTTTGTTGATGAGGGGATGGAGAAGGAGGGGTCCATTTGTTCTCTTTCAATTTTTGGTGTTCTACTTGCCCTCATCACTCCCACTCTGGAAGGCTTAGGGTACCAGGATTTGGATTCCTTGACAGGAAACAACCATAACCATCCCATTCATTCAGCACACACTTATTAGGCAGTGTACCATGCTAAGCAAAAGGGAAAGATGACAAGGATGAATAAGGCAAACTGTTGTCCTGGCCCTCCAGGAGGTTATGGTCTAGGGAGAAGTAAGAGATGCAAATAGAGCTGCCCTATAGTGTTGCATAGAATAAGTACTATGTGGATAATAATAATAATAATAGCTAACATTTATATGGGTACAAGCCTAGTAATGGAGGCAACTGCATGAATCAGTGAAGAGAGTGCTGGGCCTAGAGTCAGGAAAACCTGAGTTCATATCCAGCCTCAGACACTACTAGCTGTGTGACCCTGGGCAAGTCACTTAATCTCTGTTTGCCTTAATCCACTGGAGAAGGAAATGGCAAACCACTCCAGTATCTTTGCCAAGAAAACCTCATGGATAGTATTGGCATGCTGTGGTCCACAGTGCAACAACAACAACATTTATGTAACACTTTAAGGTTTGCAAAGTGCTTTACAAACATCTTATTTTATCCTCACCACAGCCCTAGAAGGTTGGTTTTATTATTATCCCTATTTTACAGATAAGGAAAATGAAGTTAAGTGATTTGCCCAGAGTCACTCAACTAGTGTCTGAGTCAAGATTATAAACTCAGGTCCTCCTGACTGTGGGTCTAGTATTCTATCCATGGGGCACCTAGCTGTCTAATTGGTCCAGACAATAAATACTTAAACAATACAGAAGAGAGAGAGAGAACACTTTGTGCTGAGGTGACCAGGGAAGACTTCCTGAAGGTGGTGGGCCTGATCCCTCCAGAGACTGGAGAAACTCCCATCAGAAAATTCCTCTTCTGTAGGAGTCTGTTTCCCAGGTATCACAGCTCAAGGCTGCCTCCTGTAACCAGCTCTTTGTATGTGTGTCATTTTCTCTCTGCAGCTCTGGCTCTCAAGGAGATTGACTATGACACCTTTCCTATTAGCCTCATAAAGGATGGAGGGCAGCAGGTAAGAAAGAGTACAATAAGTCCATGGGATATATGAAGTGCTGAGATTTTTGGAGGAGGTAGAAGGCATTTCTGGGTTTTGTCAGGTTGGGGTTCTCAAGGTCGACTTCATGGAGGCATCGATTTTGAGCTAGGTTTTGAAGGATGAGCCAAACTTTATTGAACAAAGATAGTAGTGGGGCCGCTCCAGGCACAGAGATGTGAAGATAAAATATTATCTGTAAAGCATTTTCAAAACCTTAAAGCACCATATAAATGTCAGCTGTTAATATTTGTTATTATTATTATTGATGATCTCAGTTTAAATTGGATCCCATAGACAAACTGGATTACTCCCCATTTCCGAAACACGTCCTACATTTTCTCACCTCACTTAAGACCCAGGGTTGGGGCAACAGTGGGATCCCAAATACCAAACCAGTGCTTACCCCCCCTCCCCCCAGGAGAAGACTGTGCTCAAGAAAGGAGAGAGGACTCTTTCACAAGCTGGACTGTGCCAAGGATAATAGGGCGAGATAAAGCTGGAAATATAAATTTATGCCAGATTGTGGAAAACCTTGGATGACAGGTTAATGAGTTTAACCTTCATTTAGTAGAAAGGCAGGCCAGCCCAGGAGGAATAGAGTTATCTATATCCCTCCCCACCAACCTAACCCAGGCTTTTCCTTTCCCTTTGGGACCTTGTCTTCACAGTTTACTAAGGAATTCCAGGCACTGAGCCCAATGAGTCAAGTGCCAGCCCTGAAGATTGATGGCATTACCCTTACCCAGTCAGTGAGTACTGCGGACCAGTCAGCCCATTATTCATTCCAACAAGAGGGCTGTGAGGAAGCCACTCTCTCTTGCTTTCTTCTCCCTCCACTCCCCTCTCCCACACAGACCCAAGGATAGACCATGAATCAGGCATTTGAATGCCTGAACTCCAGGGAGTTAAGAATTAAACTGCCTTCTTAGCCCCTCCTTCAATGATCACGATCCTCTGCTGTCCCACCACTTCAAATAAACCTGGGCTTGGGCAGGAAAAGGGACTGAGGAAGGGGGAGGTCGGGGGAAGCAGGCAGGAAAATGAAAAACAATTGGCATCATCCTCACTCCCCCAGAATCAAACACTTTCTCCTTCTTGCCTTGTTTCTTATCCCTGTCTCTTGTGGGTTGCAGCTGGCCATCATTGAGTATCTGGAAGAGACACGACCCACACCCGTCAGGCTCCTGCCACAGGACCCCAAGAAAAGAGCCAGCGTTCGCTTGATCTCAGATCTCATTGCTAGTGGGATTCAGCCCCTGCAGGTACCGACCTTTAAAGACCCATCATGGTACCTGCCCATGGCCCAGAGAAAGATAACAGGGCCACAAGGAGAAGAGACTTAACTTCAAACTACCTCATGGAATCATGAGATTTTTAGAGAGACTTCTGACTTTATATAATCTAGCCCTATCCAATCCAATCCTTTATTAAATACCTACTGTATACAAGGCACTATGCTACCCTAGGGAAACAAAGACCAAATGATGGGCAGTCCCTGCCCTCAAGGAGCTTACGTTCTGTTGTGGAGGTAAAAGATGTAAACAGGTAAGTATATCCATGGTAATTTGAAGAGGAAAGAAATTACAGTGACAACTGGTAGGATCGGGAAGTTTGTCCATAGGAGTCAGCACATGAGCTGAGCCTTGACAAAGCTACTGAGGCACTAGAGAAGTGGTTTGTTCTAAGTGTGATGCAGGTTCATCAAAGTCCAGGCTTGAGAACCAGATCCGCTAACTCATAGTCCAAGGCTCTTTTCTCCATCACAGTACTTCACCTTCGTGGGGCCCAGACCGGGAGTGAATCACTCATTCAGTGACTGCGCTCCTCCATGGAGGCAGTGGTAAACCAAAGACTACAGAAAAGTCTTGCTGACTTTTCCCTGACCTTTGCAACTATCTCTAAGTGAGGCTCAACCTAACTATTCCTGAGCTCGGAGTAGAATTACATATTACTTTATCATTTTTTCCTTATTATGAACTTAAGAAACATCAACATGAATATTTCCTTATACCAAGAAAAACTGAAAAGAAGGCCTACATATGAAGCTGTGGATCTTCACTATATGCAACTTGGTTATTCTGTGTACTTATTTTAAAGCTTAAAACTGCACTAAGGCTTTTGGAGCACCGTATTTCCAATTTAACATGGTAGTTCTAACACTGCCTTGTTTGTCTCTGTCCCCTTCTGAACTTCCTTCTTATCTCTTCTGTTTATTTTTTAATGATTCATTGACTCATTTTTCTTTGTTTTCTTCCTTTTTTGTGTATCAATATCATTATCCTCTCACTCACTCTCCAACTTGCCACTCCACCAAAACAAAAGGTAAATTCTTCCTCGTAACAAATAAGAAGAGAGCTAGGTGACACAGTGAATAGAGCACTCAACCTGAAGTCAGGAAGACTTGAGTCCAAATCCAGCCTCAGTCACATTTCTTTGGTATACAAGCCTAGTAGTGGTATTTCTGGGTCAAAAGGTCATAGTTTAGTGGCTTTGGGAATATAACACTAATTTTATATCCAGAATGGTTAGACTTCAAAGATCCAACAGTACATTAGCGTAGCTGTCTTCCCACAGTTTCCCCAACGATTATCTTTTTTTTTTGGTCATCTTGGCCAGTCTAATGGATGTGAGGCAGAACTTCAGAGTGGTTTTAATTTTAATTTCTCTACTAATGATTTGGAGAATTTTTTTTAATATGGTTGCTGATAACTTGGACTTCTTCCCTTAATACCCTTTGGCTATTTAGCATCTGGAGAATGGCTTTTGTTCAGATTTGTTTGTATCAGTTCTCTATATATGTTGGTGTGACACTGAGTCTGTAAATATGTTTAAGAAGGGTATCGTTGTTTTTAATATACTGGCATGGTCCAGTAAATAATCTCTCTTCAGTTATTTAGGTCTATCTTTATTTTTATAAGTAGTGTTTTTTACTATATTTGCATAGTTTCTGTGTTTGCCTTAGTTTCTGAATTCCCAGATATTTTGTATGTTCTCTAGTTATTTTGAATGAAATGTCTCCTTTCTTTTCCTGCTGGGTTTTGTGTGTAGTATATAGAAAGACTGGTGATCTTTCTGGGTTCATTTTTATATATTACTACTTTACTGAAGTTATTAATTATTGCTCTTAATTTTTAGGTGACTCTTAAGGGTTATCTGCAAAAAGCAATAATATTTCCTAAAAAGTGATCATTTTGTTTCCTCTTTCCTTATGCTTATTCCCTTAATGTTTTTATCTTGTCTTATTGCTATAGGTAGCATTTCTTATATTTTATCAAGTATAGTAGTGACAGTGGACATCTTTGCTTTGCCCTAGTCTTTTTTTTTTCTTTTCTTTTCTTTTTTTTTTGGCGCTGGTCTTTTTGGAAAGACTGCTAGCAGTTTTCTATTACAGACAATGCTAGCTCTTGGTTTTAGGAATTACTTAGCTTATTAAGGTACGCTCCATTTATTTCTGATTTTTTCTTTTGCTATTTTTAGCTAAAGGGATATTGTATTTTGTCAAAAGCTTTTTCTTCTAATATAATCATGTGACTTCTGTTGTTTATTATTTTTTGTAGTGAATCAACCCTGCAATCCTAGTATAAATCCAACCTGGTCATAGCATATGATCTTTTTAATGTATTGTTGTAGCCGCTTTGCTATTATTTTACTCAAGATTTTTTCATCAATATTAATTAGAGATATTGGCCTATTAATTACCTTTCTCTGACAGCCCTTCTTGTTGTAGGTATCAGGACCATAGTTTGGCAGGATCTTTTTTGTCCCTATTTTTTTTTCAAACAATTTATGTGATAGTGGAATTGATTACCTTTTGAATGTTTGATAAAATTCACTTATAAACCCATCTAGTCCTAGGGTTTTTTCTTGAAAGTTCCTTTATGGCTTATTCAATGTCTTTTTCTGAGATTAGGTTATTTCACTTCTCTATTTCTCCATTCTGTATTCTGTTAACTTTCGTATATTTTGGACATATTCATTTAAATTATCAGTTTTGTTGGCATATGTTTGGGCAAAAATAGTTTCCAGTAATTTTCTTTATTGTGATTTCTCTTTTTTCATTTTTTTTCTTACTGACAGTTTCTTCTCTTGTTGGGAGAGATCCAGTTGGCTAAGGGCTTTTTTTTTTTTTAACCATCTTTTAGTTTTATTTCTTAACTAATTGGGAGGTTTTTATTTTTGACGTTTATCTCTTTTGTTTTTTAGAATTTTTATTTTTGTGTTTGAGTTTTTAAAATTTGTTCCTTTTCTGATTTTTTTAGTTGTATGCCTAATATATTGACTTGGTTTTTTGTTGATGAAAGTGTTTAGAAATATAAATTGTCCAGTAAGGAATGTTTTGACTGCATTTTAAAAGTTTTGGTATGTTGCTTCATCGTTGTCATTTGCTTTAATGTAATTATCTCGTTTCTATGATTTGTCCTTTTACCCACCAATTCTTTAGGATTAATTTATGTAGTCTATATTTAAGTTTGAATCCTTTCTTCAAAGCCCTTTCCTGATTATATTTTTAATTGTGCTGTGGTCAATAAGGAAGGTGTTTAATATTTCTAGTTTTCTGCATTTATTGATGAAGATTTTGTACCCCAGAATATAGTAAAGTTTTGTAAAGTGTCATGTAAAATTAAGAAATATGCATATTCTTATTTCCATTCAACAATCACCAAAGATCTATCATGTCTCACTTTTCTAAAATTCTGTTCAAGTTCTTAGCTTCTTTCTCATTTATCTTTTTGTTAGATTCATTTAGATTTGAAAGGGGCACATTGAAGGCTACAGCTATCATAATTTTACTATATCTTCCTATAATTGGGTTGACTTTCCCTTTAAGTTCTTAGCTACACCATTTATTGCATATGTATTAAGTATTGATATTTTTCTATCACATTGGTGTCATTAAGAATGATGTTAATTTCCCTGTTTATCCCTTTTAACTATGTCTGTTTTTTTCTGTTGCCTTGTCTGAGACCATGATTATATAGAAGAAAATTCTGTACTCTGTGTTGTAGGCACAAGCCTGCCAGAAAAATCTTACCAATTAAATTAAACTAATTCTAAGTATTTTCTACTTAGAGGGAGATCCAAAAATGGAGAGAGTTTCCTGTTGCCTTTAAATGTCTCTGATATCCAGTATCAGAGAACTATCTCTGATACAAGCCATTTTGGAACTACAGTTTATGTTTTTCTCAATCAACAAAATTCCAAAGTCAAAATTAAGCAAGAGTTCAGAGTCTAGGTAAGTCTCAGAACAATAATAACTTAAAATGTCAGTGCAGCTTAGAAAATCATTTTTATAAACCCTATTTGACAACTCACTCTAAGCACTCTTCTTTCCACCTAGCCAAAAATCAACTCAAGAGATACTTTCATTTACAGAAGTAATAAAAGATTGCTTCCTTCTTGTAGTCTTATCATTGCTGCCTGGTCAAGACATGGGAAAAGAGAGCAGTCTCTTAATTGGAGCAAACAGTGGCCTCCTTGCCTTTGTCTGATCACCACTCTGACTTCATCCTCCAACATAGTTCCTCTCTGTATTTTCACTTAGTTTCCTCAAAGGAAGTGGTTAGGCCTCCAATAAGAGAGAGAGGGGAAAAAAAAAGATTTAGTGCAGGGCATTGTTTTTTTAAAATTTTGATTAACTATTGATAAGTTTTCTCGTTTAGGTGGCACCAAAGACTTTAGACTAAAATAGGGTCCTGATATTATTTTGTAAGGTGTAGCTTAAAAAGGCAGTGGGGTGGAATGTGGGGTAGAAGGAACACCTCAGTGTGCTTTCACAATTGCTGCCTTTGCTTTTTAAAACTTGTCCAAATCATAATAAATTCTGCTCTAGCCCCTCAGTTTGACTCTGTGAGAATCTTTAGGTTTCAAGTGTGTTGCTTATAAACAACATATTGGTTCTGCTTTCTAATTCATTCTGCTACCTTCCTTTTTATGAATGAGTTCATCCCATCCAAGTTCATGGTTATAATTATTAATTGCATAATTTCCACTATCATCCCTCTTATACTTCTTTACAATGAAGAAAGGGGTGGAAAAAAAGAAGGGATCTGATCAACACTAGTAATCCTTAATTAAAATAGTCTTTTCCTACTCCTCTGCCCCCCCCCATCTCTGACCAGTCTCAGACCCTGATCTCTGGTTCTTATATGTTTTCTTTTTAATCTTCCCTTTATAATTAACCCTCTGAAACTGAAGCTTATTTTGCTTGTATCTATTCCCTCTACAACTCTACTCTGACTCTTTATCCCACTTTTCCTTTTCCTGTTTTCACCTATTTGCCTGTTGAGTTTAATGTATTTCTACACCATACTCTGTGTGTACATGTGTGTTCAGCCCTCCCTTATGCAGTTCAGATAAGAATGTCATTATTTATACCATTTCCCCACCATTTCCTCCATGTTTAAATACTTTTTTCATGGACTATATTTACCAGAAATAGTAAATTCCTCCTCCTTTTTCCTCATTTGTTCTCTAGTGTATTCCTTGTCCCCTCCCTTTTCTTTTCTTTCTTCAAACCAACAAAGCAAAGCATGACCACATGAAGGCCCCATGTTTTTTTCATTTAACTTCTTTTGGGATTCTGAAGGGACACTTGTCTCTTCTCTCCCTGTTACAATGTAGTTACTTTATCATTGTTTAGACCCTTCTAGTAGCTCAAATGTATTTACCTTTCTAGGCTTCTCTTGACCCCTTTGTTCCCATTTCAGAGTTTCTTCCCAGTGGTCTTTTCCTCAGAAATTCTCAGAAGTCCTCTGTTCTATTAAAGGACATTTTTACCTCTATAGGATAATACTCAGTTTTGCAGAGTAAGTTATTTTTGGTTGTAAAACCTTTAGCTTTTACCTTTTGGAATATTCATATTCCAAGATTTTCTCTTCTTTAGTAGAGTTGCTGCTAAGTCTTGTGTACTACCTATGGCTCCTTAGTACTTGAATGATTTCTTTCTGGCTGTTTGCAGTATTTTTTCTTTGACTTGGAAGCTCTCCATTTTGACTTTGACACTACTTAGTGTTGAATTTTAGGTTTTCTCTTTGGAAGTGATTAGTGAATGTTCCTTGGTATAATAGATCTGGACAGTCTCCTTTATTATTTCTTGAAATATGGTATCCAGGTTTTTTGTTTGGTCCTGATTTTCAGGAATTTATTAAGAAATAGGGAGTGGCACATCCAATTCTTTGAGTACTTGCCAGTAACATGACTGGCAAGGGAAAAATGGGTGGCTTTTAAATCACACTTTAGCCAAGAGGTGTGGGAGCGAACAACACAGCAGAGACACGTGGCAGAAGAGATATAGAAGCAGAGAGCAGAGGAAAGGATGGTGAAGGGAGGCAGGTGAAGTGGGGAAGAGGAGGGGGAGGAGGAGAGGGAGAGACACAGAGTATCACTCATGTAACCATTGAATAGAGTTGGGAGCACTTAGCGTCATGGACTTGATGGAAATGGAAGAGTGCTTGGTGGGCAGGAGTTTGAGGTCTCATTTTTACAGAGTTTTTTTGGAAGACAGACTTACTCTTGTCTGTGTCACCTTGGTGTTAGTTCATTAACATATGCAAATCGTGTCAGAGTTGTTACTAAAACTTTAAAGTTAACATGTCCACATCATCTCAAAATTATCAGCATCATTTGATGTTCTGTTGGTCTTTACTGTGGAGGTCTGGAATTTTTCTGGGGTTTATATATCATAGGACCTAAGGCCCTGACAGTAGTGCCCAGATGGTGCCTGCTAATTCAGCACATTTTACCAGGATGTGAGTTTTGGTTAATATATGATGCAGTTTGTAAATTTATGCTCCTTTGATCTTAGGGACAGTTTGTATGTGATTTCCAGGTTCCTGTTTGCAATCTTATTTCTTGCTATTGCCCATTTATATTGGCTACTTATAAACTTACTTATTACTGGAAGGGGAGAGGTGGTCAGGGGGACCAGAGCAATATACAATTTTAACACAGAGTCCAGTGATTTTTAAGTTTTCTTGGTCATTTGTTTTATAATATGTACCTCCAGTATTTCTTGTGCCACAAAATTATTCAGTTCTGTTTGCTTCATTCTGTTTTTTAGAGAGTCTCCTATTTGAGTGAGGTTTTCCATGTTCTAAACTATGCATGTTCCTTTCTATCTTTTCCTGAACTCTGATATCATTTATAATTTCTTTTTTTTTTAACTTTTTGCTAATTTCGTCTAGTCTCTTTTTGTAGCCCTTGTGGCTAAACATTTTTTTTTCCCTCCAAGACTGTACTTGTAATTGCAGATTTACTCTCTTCTAGGTTTAAAGTTTGGGCTTCTCTTAACCCATAATATTTATGTATGGTGTTCAATGGGTTTTTTTTTCTATTTCCTTATTTTCAGCCTCAGTTCTTGTATTGATATTTTGAGCCCAGATCAGTCCCTTCTGGTACCCTTGGATGGTTAGGACTTGTGTGGGCTTGGATGTCACCACTGCCACTGATCTGGATGGGGTGGCTGGTATTAAGCCTATCTGCCTCAATTCCTGAGTCTCATATCAGTCTCCTATTGGTTGTCCGATATTTGTCTTCTTTTCCTTGCACAGTCTTTAATTGGGAATTGTTCCATCCCCAGCTTTGGCCTGGGCAGGCCCCACTGGGATGTTGGATGTTGGATGTCTCAGCCTCTCGCACGCTCTGTAGCAGTGGTGCTCTGACTCCTGCTCTGGCTCCCTAGTGCTCCAAAGACTGCAGTCAGGTTTTGTCTCCTAGTAATTTGGCCTGTGGGAGCTGTTTCTTTCCCCCATTGCTTTTGTGATGGGTCAGGGCTAAGATCTGGCTTTAGAGTCCCAATTAATGGGGAGTTGTCACTGGCTCATAATCCCCCTATTCAAGTGTTGGAAGACTTCGGGCCAGTTTTGCATAGGTTTCCCTGAAAGGGTTTCTGTCCTCATCTCTATATAAAGTGTAAGAACAACTATCCTGTAGTCTGCCAAGGTTAAATGTTACTTAGTCTCTCTTCTTCCTGGCCTTAATATTTAGCCCATAACTATAGCCACACCTATAAAAACTCCACTCCCTGGGCCTCTCGACTCTCCTCTTGCTCCTCTATCACATATCACACCAGTGGGTGCAGTTTGGGGGTTTTCTGGCCACCCGCACTTTAGGCAATGAGAGAAGAAGGTCCCACGGACCAGGCATCTCCGGAGATCCCATCCCCCAAACCTTGAGAAACTAGGATCGTCACATAGCAGAATCTCTCAGGAAAAGAGGAAGGAATGACATCTCTCACCCTAGTAGGGAACTATGGATTGCTAGACTGAAGGGAAGGGTTGGTGCTGGGTTGGCAGGATCAGCAAGGCTGCTAAATCTGACCACTGGATTTCCTTTGGCTTATCAGAACTTATCTGTCCTAAAGAAAGTGGGCCAAGAGGCCCAGCTGACATGGGCACAAGAAGTCATCAGCTCTGGCTTTGAAGGTAAGTCTCCATCCTGTCCTGCCCTCGTTACAAGCTCCTGATCCTGGAATTTCAGAGAACTGGTCCTGCTCACCTGATGCTTTTTTCATGATCTCCCTCTGGCTTCTGTGGTGATAATGATAGAATAGGCTGGGAAATAGAGGGACTTCAGGGCCAGCAGTTGGGAAGGAGATAGGCTGAACAAGTCGCCAGATTGGTTTAATGAGAACAATTCATCTCAAACCAGTGGTCAAGTCTCAGACCTTTGGTATTGCCTAGTCTTCCCTTTACTAGGCCACTTAAGTCTATGGCTTTGCCTGAAAATTACATGCAAGAGATTGGGGCCAAAGGAGAGAGCAATTGTGGAATAGAACAGTACTACCTTGTGCCTTACTCACTACAGATGGGAGAAATGGGAAACATCTTCCCCCTGTTTTGCTCCAAATTCCCCAGTATCCTCTCTGTTACCTTTCCTCCAGCAAGCAGGTTCAAGCTTACCTCGCCCACAAATCCCATCTCAGATACAGGTGCTATTATCCCCATTTATAGAAGAAGCTGAGACCCAAGAGCAATGAGGCTGAGCTTCCTCCTTCTTGCTATACATGGAGTAAGAGCCAAAGGGCCTTCCCTGATTTTTATTTTCTTCTTTTTGCAGCCCTAGAGCACATCCTGCAAAGCACAGCAGGGAAGTACTGCGTGGGAAATGAGGTAGGGGCCATCCCATATCTCCATTCTTCCTTATTCTTGGCCCCTGTCAGAATTTGTTGCTACAACTAAAGAGGACTTCAGAAGAACTAGCCGAGCCAGTCAGTGCTGAAAGCAATAGGCCCTTGTTTAAGGAAAAGCTATGAGGGAAGGCTATTGGCTTAACTGGAGACACCCAAAGTGGGAGGTGCAGGGCAGGGATGAGGGAGGGATGCTAGGGAAGTCGAGTTAGTCCCTCACACTTCAGCTGGGACTGACACCTTCAAACTAGGGTAGCCAACTGAGCTTCCTTACACTTGGGACCAATTGTCTTCAAAGCAGGACAGTGGCAAGGAAAGAATCCTAACCAGAGATGTCAGCAGGAAGCCACTGGTTGATTAAACCTTGTCTGGTTGCTATAGACAGAGGCTTTGGGGCAAGGGATGGGATTATTCAGGTTTGAGAGGGAAAGAGCACAGTGCATGACTACTGTATTGATAGGATTGCCAGGGATACAGTCAGAACCCAACAGGTGTGTGGTCAAGAATCCTGGACCAGAACTAAATTTGACCTTTCTCTGCAGATCTCCATGGCTGACTTATGCCTGGTGCCTCAGGTGGCTAATGCTCAGAAGTGAGTGAGAACCCTGTCCTCTCCCCCCATACCATAGAGAGCCTTCTCCATACACACGCAACTACCTTTCCCCTACTAGACCCCTCCCTCTGTGTTGTATGAGTCACACTGGTAGCACATCTCAACTTATCTGTTTCTGTAATGGAATTCCCCTTCCCCTGCTTGAGAGAGCCAATGACATGACCTCACAATCCCTACAGAGATGATCCAGCCCTTGGCTTCTACTCATAGGAAAGTGAGGGTGCCCACATCCTAGCTCCCTGGCAGGCACCCCAACAGCAATACCCACCAGAAAGTATTCGTCCACTTTCTATAAGTGTTCACTGCCCACAAGGATCCCCTGAATTATCTCCAGAAATCAGAATGGACCAGGGTCCAGCCTTGCAGTCCTATCCATTGCCTTCCTTTTACCCCAATACAGCAAGTATCAGTTGAGCTTCTATTATGTGCAGGGCTCCATTAGACCATTCCCAATCCCAAGGATCTTGGGTTTTATCTAGAGCAGGGGATCTAAACCTTTTTTGTGTCATGGACCCCTTTGGTAAGCCAGTGAAGTCAATGGACCCCTTAAATATATAAAATTATAAAGGAAACCAATTATGTTGAAATAAAATTATAAAAAAAATTTAAGTTCACAGACCCCAGGTTAAAAACCCCTGATAGAAAGACAAGATATGAAAAGATAATTCACAAAACAAGACAGGATAAGGACCAAATGACACTGTACTGCCTCAAAAAGGCCACTGCCCCTGCACTTCTGTTTTTTTTGTTTTTCTTTAGTCGTTTTCAGGAGTGTTCAACTCTTCATGACCTCAGTTGGGGTATATCTTTTCAAAGATGCCAGAGTGATTTGCCATTTCCTTCTCCAGCTCATTTTAGAGATGAGGAAACTGAGGCAAACAGAGTGAAGTGACTTGCCCAAGGTCACACAGCTAGTAAGTGTCAGAGGCAGGATTTGAACTCAGGTCTTTCTGACTCCAGGCCTGGCACTCTATCCATTGCATTACCTTGTAAGAATTTCCCTGACCAGTTAAATGAATATCCAAACTTGTCTCTCCATGCCTCTCGGGTTTGATGTTTCCTTGCTGAAACCCCAGCCTCTGCTCAATGACTTATGTTCATATTGCAGATTTAAGGTGGACCTCTCCCCATACCCCATTATCAACCGCATCAACAAGACCTTGCTTGCCATGGAGGCTTTCCAAGTGAGCCACCCTTCCCGGCAGCCTGACACCCCTCCAGAACTTCGGGCCTAAATCCTGGCATTTCCAACTTAAGAATGAGAGTGTGAGCTGCATAGTTTTAATGCCACCAAGAAAAATAAATCATGCTTTGTGAAATGAGTCCTGGCTTGGAAGCTGTGAGACCTAGGTTGGAATTCTAGCTTTGCCAACCACAGAATTCCTCTGGACCTCAGTCTCCTCTTCTGTCAAATCTGAAGGTCAATAATACCTGTACTGCCTGTTTCATAGGGTTATGGTGATCGGAATCAGTGTAGTCATTTAGGTAAAATGCTTGGAAGATCGTGAAGTGCTGAATAAATTCATGACATGAAGTACTGCCTCCTCTTTCTGTGGGCTGCTTTCATGCATATCATGCATTTTTGTTAATTAATCTCGATGTTCATCTATACCCTCAACTCTGGATCCAAGAAGAGAATCCAGTCAAGCCAGAACAAAGGTAGAGGAGATGAGGCATCTTCATTCTTCCCAAGTAGTGTACCAGCTCATTAAAGACCATGCCCAGTAAGCAAAAGGGAGAGGACACATATCTCTGGAATTTTAACAGCCACTGAGAAGTAGTTCCTCCCTGTTTCGGGGGGATAGGATAGGAAAGGGGAGAACAAGGAGGGAAACTGTGCCTTCATTGGAGCCAAGAGCTTCTGTTGTGCAAACTCTCTCCAACTAGGCAGATCAATAACTCACCTGTAACTTAGTCTTAGAGAGTAGCCTGGGGCAATGAGGTTAAGTGATTTGCATATGGTCACACACCCTATATATGCCCAGAAGGACTTAAACTTAGATCTTCCTGATCCACCCTGCCATGTTCCATCTGTTTCCATAGTCATGCAAATAAGCCATAGTTTGGGTCCTGAGATAAATCAGGTGGAACCTTAGAACTAACTAGCTATACATGGTTGTGATTTGTCCTTTGTTATCTAAGAGAACCATGACATCAGGGAGACAATGCCATGACTTGCAAGTGAATTGGATTTAAGTGAGGCAGGGCTATGCAAAGTCACCAGCCTCGCTTTCTCCTCTGGATCCATCTGGGGTACAGTGGTAATATAAAGATCTGGAGATGGCCCGTGATGCAATGGGAGACCTTGGCCTTTTTAAACTAAGGTCTTTCCCAGGTCTCAGTCTAACTGAAGCGATGCCCATTCAGTGACTAAGGCTAGGGAAGAAATAAGGCAAAGAATGGCCTCTTTTACGTAGCCCAAAAAAAAAATATATATATATATACATATATATATATGTATATATATATACATATATACATGTATATATATATACATATATATGTATATATATATATATATCTCAATCTGGGAGGGGGAGAACCTCAGGATCTCCGGCCAAAACAAACAATTGCTATTTACGTTAACTTTAAGACTTCAGGGCCCAAATAATGACCAAGTCGGGTTGGGCTGGGACCTATTGTTGGCTAATCAATGAGAGCCAGAGTGATTTGTGTTTAAGGCATGGTCCTTAAGAAGAATATACATGGTAAAGAAAACATGGAAATACTAAGTCCATGAACCTTTTTACCAATTGCTTCAATTTCCCTACCACTCATCTTTTGACTGACACCACAAGCAAAGGGTCAATTTGGTTACCCTGAGGGTATCTATTTTTCTATTTCCTCAACTCCTCTCAGAAAATCAATGATATCATCTCCATTTTTTGTAATTAATTCTATTCTGTATCACCACTGACATTTTGGACAACTGCCTAAGTCACTGTTTCTTTGTCTTTAAGTTCAGAAGTTCAGTCTTAATTAAGTTTAATAGTTCAGTTCCCCTATAATGCTTTAATTAAAAGATCTCTATACTACTAGCTATCCTTAACCAATTAAAGGAAATTATTATTTATGTAACTGGTTAGCCAAGCTGGTGGACACCACCAATGAGCTTTCCATAGCCACAAAGTGTAAGGAGGGGTTCTTACTAGCCCTGCCTACCTGATGTCCAGGCAATTATATTGTCCTCCACATCAGTGATGCTTCTGACTTTGTAACCAATCATGTTGTTTTCCCCATCTATGATACTGATGGGGTTGGGATCTGGGAAAAACCTTGGATTTCCACATGGCCAAATCTCTGGCATTCCCCTGAGGCTATAATCCCATCAACTGGCCTTTCATTGTGGACCTCCCTATGGCCCAGGCCATTTCTGTATTCTCCCTTGGCCATTCTTCCTTGATCCAGGTTCCTGGAATTCTATTACCTCATAGACTACTTGACCACTCCTAGATCCCTCCCATAGTCTTTCTGTATATAAGGTCCATCTTGTCTCCATTAAGATGCTTAGATTCTTATAATCTAGCCAAGGCTCAGATTTTTATAATCTAGCCACTGCTTACCCAGGTTTCAAATTCCTTAAGAGTCTGCCCAATATGATGGATGTTCTAATAAACTTTGTCTTTGGCTGAAAGAAGGCTTGGGTCAGATTCTTTCAGACAGGACCCACGTGTTGTGATTTTGGGGTCCCAGCACCCCTGAACCCTTAAACTGCATCAATACTATCTTTTTTTTTAATGCTCCCCCTTTTGTCTGTAAAAATTATCTGTCTGCCCTTATTCAGGGTCTTTTTGACTTGTAAAGGAGGCAAAGACCCTTTTTGTTGGTAACTGCTAGCATTACCAATAAATTGAATGTGCTCAGAGCTTTGTGCCTGAGTTTACCTTAATTTCAATCAGGACAGTCAGAAGCAGGAGGTTAGAACAGAGGACACTGGTAACCTCAAGAACCTACAATCTGGAATACTAGGCCATAGATAAATTGGAAATTGGTAGAGGCAGTGTTATGCTAATAAATGTTTAACAACTGGCTCTCTGAGGGGAAAATGTAAGCACAACACATTTAAGCTTAATTTGCATCATTAGCAATTTCTCTATCACTGAAGTCTAGGCAATCAACAAAATGCTAAACAAACCCTTGATTCCATAGCGTTTGCTGATTTCTGAGGCATACATGCTTGCACTAAAGATTTCACAATTATCTCCCTGTTGGAGCTAGCCCTAGCACACCCCTAGGTAGAGGCTATGCTTATAAAAGAGGGATGAGATTCTGGCACCTGCCTGTGTTTCTGATTTGGAAGAGTGGGTGAGAAGAACCTAGTGAAGGCTAACCCCTAGGAGTGGGACTAGGAATCTCAGTGTATGCTCATGTATGAGCATATAAGGTCCTTGCTAATTACTTCGTAGCACTTCTTGCCAGCTGTTCTCCTAGCAAAGCTCCAGTCCCCCACTCCACCCTGATACCAGTCACCCCATCCTGAAGAGGAACATAGCTCTATTACAAGGCTGGAGTACCCAAGACCATCCCTGGCTTATGGTTTTCCCCTTGGTCCCAGCTGCTCTTTTTACTCTAGCAGAGTGACTGGTAAAGGTGTTTTTAGCCTGGGCTCAACTACTTTTCAAAAGTATGGGACTCCTAACAAATCCCTTCACCATTCTGAGCCTCATCTTTCAATTCAGACAGTAATTCTCACTCCTGCTTTATTACAAACACTTCTTACATCTTTCCTTACAAGTAATGTGTCATCACCAAGTCTCTGAGGACAGGTAGGGGACAGGCTGAAGTAATAGGAACCACAATCTTCCTGTCCTTTTTCCAGACAGGGCATAGAACATTTTATTCCCTGGCTTTACCTGTCAGACGCTGGTTTGGAGGCAAGAGATTCAGAGATTTGTGTTAGATGTTTATTTTCCCCTGGTGAGAGACAGCATGATGTAGTAGAGGGCCAGCCTTGAAGAAAGAAGGACCCTAGTTCAAAACCTGCTTCTGACACAGGCTGTGGGGCAAATCATCTGACCCCTCAGTCCTCCAGGCTCTGTGACTAGAAAGTACAGAGGGGTTGAAGATCTGCTCTCTGATTGGAAAGAGGGAGTTTATCACAGCAATGGAATCACAGGTAGAGAAACACCCCTCCTTTTCTCCCTGTTCCCTCATTCCAAAACAAAACAAAACAAAATAAAAAAACTTCCCTGGAGCCATGTGGAGGTGATTACTGGGGGTGCAGAATCCTTAGTGCTTTGGAAAGTTAGACAAGTGGAGGGAAGAAGGTAGCAGAGTTGGTAAGATAAGGAAGAAGTTGGGGAACCGTATGTGTCGTTGGGAGTGGAGGGTTTGATCAGAGGTCCATTCCTACAGGGACCACAGAAAGGAGAAGTGGGCATGGCTGCTCACCTAGGGAGGTTCATGATATAGGCCTGTGGGGAAAGCCCTGTGCACAGAAAGTCTCTTTCTGCCCTCATGGTCTTAAAATAAAGTCATAAAGGCAGATGGGGAAAGGAAGAGAAATGAGACAAAAAGATTCCCAAGTAGTGGAGGAGAAACCCCAATCTGCCAGATAAGTGGCAAACTGGTCAGGAACTTTAATTTTCTTTGTGAAGGGAACTTTGGATCTTATAAAGTTGTCTCTGAAACTGAGAAGTTAAGTGACTTGTCCACAGTCACACTGCTGTTATTGGTCAGAGGTAACACTCCATATTTCTGCATTAGTCATGTTCTGGAAGAAAAAAAGATAAAAGAAAAAAAATATGCTTCAGTCTGCACAGACACTATCAGTTTTCTATCTGGAGGTGGATAACATTTTATATCATGAGTCCTTTGCAGTTGTGATCAATTATTATGTTAGAATACTATTATATTGATAGTTACTAAGTCTTTCACAGTTGATTATTATTACAATATTGCTGTTACTATACAGATTGTTCTTTTTGTTCTGCTCATTTCACTTTGCATCAGTTCATATAAGTCTTCTCAGGTTCTTCTGAAGCCATCCCCTTCATCATTTCTTATAGCACAACAGTATTCTATCATGTTGACATACCATAACTTGTCCAACCATTCCCCTATTGATGGGCATCCCTTCAATTCTTTGCCACCACAGAAAGAAGTGCTATAATATGGGTTCTTTCCCTTTTTCTTTGATCTCCTTTGGGTATAGACCTAGCAGCAATTATTGGTTCAAAGGGTATGCACAGGTTTATTGCCCTTTGGGTATAGTTCTAAGATGTTCTCCAGAATGGTTGGACTAGTTCACAACTTCACCAACAATGCATTAGTGTTATTATTTCCCCCTATACCCTCCAGCATTTGTCACTTTCCTTTTCTGTCATTTTAGGCAATCTGATAGGTGTGAGGTGGTAAATTGGTTTCCTTTGTAATCCTATGTATTTGAATCTATGTATTTAAGAACATTGTTCTGAGAAGGGGTCCATAGGCTTCATCAGAAGTCAAAGGGGTCCATGACACAAAGTAGACTAAGGACCCCTGCTCTAGAGAGAATAGCTAGGAGGGATAGTAGTTAAGAGCACTAGATTTAAAATCCTGTCTGATTTTTTAGTAAGACCTGTCAGAGCCACTTATTGGCCTTGTAACCCTGAACAAATCACTTAACCTCTCAGCCTCAGTTTCCTTATCTATAAAAGAGATAATAATAGCACCTACCTCACAGGTTGTGAGAATCAAATGAGATAAAATATGTAAAATGTTTACAATACAAGCTAGCTACTACTATTAAGGAAGGTACCTTTTTAATTTTAAAGACACTTCATTTCTGAAAGGTACTACTGCTAGTACAGTTGGAAAAAAAAAAGGATGGGGATTCCATGTAGTAGGAAATGTTATGCTATTCTCTTTACTATTTAACCTCTATTTACTTTACTATTACCTTCTACTATTTTTCTATGGTTTCACTTTAAACCTTGGAGGGCAGGAAGGTAGAGGACATTTTCTTCACAGGTGCCCACAGGAAAGGTTAAAAAATAATTGTCAAATTTTGAGTAATAAGACTTCTTCCATCCTGACAGTCTTTGGGTAAGCCCTCCTGTGGCATGGGCCATTTTTCTCAACATTTCCCACTAAGGACTTCAGGGCCTTACTTTCAATAACAGTTTTCCAACATATGACAGTTGGCAACCTGCCTTACAGAGGAAAATGTTGAGAAAAAGGTTAGTCTTTCTGGGATGGGTGGAAGAGACTGACTGATTTGGGCTCACAGTTTGGGGTAGGGTGGAGTGTGTTACTTGATGTTGGTAGTATAAACGGTAGAGATTAACAAATTCTTTGCAAGGATTAAAGTGCCAGGATATGGGGTATGGGAATCCTCAGTGAGACGGAAGTTACTGGGAACAAAATGCCCCAAGGGACCTCACACTTCCAGGGAAGAAGGCATGGTCAGCTATAAGGCAGGGTCATCATGCATGCCCCTAAGAAAAGTGCTGGAAATAACCAAATTACTTTCAACTGTAGGCTCCTTCTAGCTTGCTAAACATAACCTACTTACCTGTAAGTCAAGGCCCAGAGATCAGGGCCATGTGCCACTGCCCCTTGAATGAGAAGTAGTCTCCTCCTTAAGATCATACTTGGGCTACTCTGGAGCTAAGAAGAAAGGCTGATGAATGCTAAGGGTTTCAAATAGTGAATTTTAAGATCATATGAAAATGCTTCAAAAGGTGCATTATGTCATTATATTCAACCGGGAATTCTCACTGCTGAGCCTTTATTGTTTGATGGCTTGGTTCAATCGTGTCCAACTCTGTGACTCCATTTGGTTACAAAGATACTGGAGTGCTTTGCCATTTCTTTCTCCAGCTCATTTACAGATGAGGAAACTGAGAAAAACAGGGTTGAGTGACTTGCCCAGGGTCATTCAACTAGTAAGTGTCTGAGGCCAGATTTGAACTCAGGAAGATGGGTCTTCTTGACTCTAGGCCCAGCACTCAATCCACCGTGCCTTCTAGCTGCCTGATGGTTTGGTTACATTCCTTTAAATTATGATTAACTTCATATCACTTCCTCCCTTTTGTTTCCAGAGTACACCGAGAAGGGAAGAGAATTGCTATGTCACTGCATGATAAACAGAAGTTTATGTTAAAAAATGAGTGAAATTAAGGGAGGAAAAATTGGAACATGTCTTATCCTAACAGGAAACAACATACAGGTTATTTCAAGGTGCTGCTAAGATGCCTCATCTAATGGGAAACTATTCCTGATCCTTTCAGTCTTTAGTTCTATCTTTTTCCAGAATTTACTTTGTTACTTTGCATTTACTTTGAATTTACTTATGGGTGAACACATTGTATTTCCACAGTACAATGTGAGCTCTTGAGAGTAAGGACTGATACATTTTCTCTTTTTATTCCCTGGGTCCTAACAGTGCCTCGAACATTGAATTTAATTACAAAAAGGTGTTTGTTTTGTTTTGTTAAATAGCGACCCCGAGAGAAGGTTGGCCAGGAGGACATGTCTCTCCCTCCTCTCTCTTCCCATTGGCTGGTCATGATATTTAACACCAGAGTAGGAGACACTTCATCCAGAAGTTGGAATTGAAGATTTGGTGATGTAGGAAGCCAGGAACTGCCTGTGGAGAAAATACTTGCAATACTTGAGGGATGGGGAGGGGAGGAAAGAATTTCTCCCCCTTCCCACCCCTATCATTAGCCATGTGGAGCTACTGGACCAGTAGGAGACATTGCATCCATCAGGGAGCATACACATGTTCTAGACAGGCCCAGACACCGAGAGACAGTCACCCAAGGAAGAAAAGCAACTTCAAGGAGTGTGATCCCTGGCAATTGAGAGTTGGGCCGTGGAGAGCAGTAAACCCTGGGAACTCCCCGTAAGGACTCTCCGGAGAGAGGACTTTTGGGCCTGGCAGTACTGGGACTTGTGGGGTACCTTTGCCACATATGTATCCTATAAAGTGTCCCACTACCACTGATAACATGCTTGAGACCCTTCCTCCCATGGATTTTGTATTTGTGGGAGGTGTCCTAGAATGTTTTACAACTACAAGAGCAGCTAGTGGATAGAACACTGGGCCTGAAGTCAGGAAGATCTGAGTTCAAATTCCATCTCAGACACGTATTAGCTGTATGACCTTGGGCAAGTCACTTAACCTCTTTGCCTCAGTTTCCTCACCTGTAAAATGAGAATAATAAAAGCACTTACCACCCAGGGTCATTGTGAGGATCAAATAAGATAATGCTTGTAAAGCCCTTGGCACATAGTAGATGCTATATAAATGTTAGCTATTATTATTATGCTTTTGCTATATCATCTGAGTAAATGCTTTTGCTTAAAGCTAATTACATTTACTTGCTGATTGTTAATGGAAAGCACAACAGTGGAGGCTTGTGAGCTACAGTAGTGGGAGGAGACCCTTGCAAAGTTATTCCCTAGAACCTGACACAGTTAGTCCTTCTAGGGACCCAACCTACAAAACCTGTGAGGAGGAACTGGGGAATAGCCCAGAGCAAGGGATATGTGTAGAAATGGTAAAATGGAACTCATCTGATTTAGTTTTCCTTACTCTGCTGTGAAAGTCCAAAGTACTGGTTCCAGATTTTAACAGAGTAGGCTTATTGCTTTTTAAAATAAATTTTAATTTATTATAAATAACTATCAAAGAGATAATAAAATGAACATAAAAATAAGGAATGAAATCTTAAATCTTTAACATCTAACAAAGTACAGGCAGAGCCAAGATGGCAGAGTAAAGGCAGGGACTCACCTGAGCTCTCCCCCAAACCCCTCCAAAAACCTTTAAAAATGACTCGAAATAAATTCTACAGCAACATCTAACAAAGTGGAACCAAATGAATTTGCAATAAATAAATTATATTTCTTCTCTGTCGCTTTGCAAGCCCCTCTGAAGTTATGCTATTTGGGGCTTTATTTTATGTAAATACATATAGTTATAGTCAGTGTGTATGGTTCTGCTGATCTCATTTTGTATCATTTTCTATTATGTCTTTATATACTTCATTTTTAACACCATAATATCCTATCACATTTACATACCATCATTTATCCACCTATTCTCCAATTGTGGGACATAGAGGTATTTCAAGGATTTTTTTGCTCTTATAAATTTTGTTCTAAAGTGACTGCAAATATTTTTACATAGCTCCTTTTAATTTTTTATGATCAAGTTCTAGCAAGGGAATCAGAGTCAAAAGTTATAATCAGCTAGTTTGTGACTGACACTGCAAAAATCTATCCTGCAGAGTTGCCCATTTCCCCGCAGCCCTGCCAAAATTGAATTTTATAACTTTTTACTATTTTTGCCTTTCTAGTGGGAGTAAGGTGGTGTCTTAAAATAGTCTTCATATGCATATATCTCTGATTAGATAATGTAAGCATATTTCCACGTTATTAAGTTTATTTCTTCCTTTAAAAATTGTCTGTTCAGGTTCCACTGAACAGGAATTAGGAATTGTTAATCTTACAGATAAGTCTTCTACTATTAGTTTTATAAATACTGCTTAATGAATCTGGATGTCAGATCTTCATATGATGTATTTATTGCATATACTTTTTCTCTGTAATGACTTTTCTCTTAATTTTGAAGATAGTGCTTTTTGTTGAGCAAAAGGCTCTTTCCTATGTATAATTATAACTTTTATTTTGTCTCCATTAATCTCTTCCATTTGTTTGATAAAAATATTTCCTTTACTTTGATCAATGTTGTATATTTAGACTATTTTCCAGTTAGCTGGTAAATGCATAAGATATGTATCAAAACCCATTTTTCATCATATAGTGGTCCAGTTTTTATTCCATTCCTCAGTATTTTAAACATGAGTTTAAATGGCAATCTCTTACAGATACTAGGTTGTATTTCTAGGTTCTCTATTCCCTTCTATTTTTTTCAGAGGAACTGATTTCACATCCTGGCTTTGCCATGTACTTATGTGACCTTGGGCAAGGTAATTAATTTCTGGGTTTGTATGGTCATCTATAAAATAAAGGCACTGGACTTCAAAGGCCTCTTATGGCTCTATGATCCTATGATCTATTTTTTTCTTTTTTCAGTAACAGTTTTAAGAAATAATTCTTGCCTAATTCTGACATCTAGAAGTGCCAGTCCCTGTTTTCAAATTTCTTTTTCACAGTTCATACTTGCCTATCTGCTTTTCCATATACATTTAATACCTATCTAATTTTGTGAAATAGCCTTTTGACTTTTTGAATGGTATTGCACTCAACCTGCAAATAAGTTTGGGAAGCATTAACATTTTTAATATATTGGTTCTAATCATGAGCAAAGGATATCCCTCTATTTGTTCAGTCCTTCCTTGACTTTTGTCAATCATTTTGAAGTTATCTTAATATAGATCTAATCTTGATAAGTACAGTTGGCATATTTTAAAATAAGCATAATCACGTAGAACTCTATTATATTCCAAAATCTGCTCTTTCTAAATAGTTACACAAAATCTAATTTAACTTCTACCCCCAGACTATAATCACTCAGTCATGAATACAAGTGCAGATGAAAAAAAAAATCCCTGTTATTGTTACCTTCAAAAGTTTGCTCTTAAAAATATATTCCAAAAATAATATCTTATTTGATCTCATACGATATCTCCCCTTCTTTCACACCTAAAAGATGTTTAGGAAGAATGAAAGATAAGAGATCTGAAATCTCAATGAGGTTCACTATGATGTAAATCAAGAGTCTCAGGTGCATAGTGAAAAAATTTATTTATGACAGGTTTTGGAACTTTGAAGACGAGAATTCACAAAGGCATCACAAAACTGTCGAACAATATAAAAACACACAAACTAGGCTATTTAAGGGACTGTAGCACATAAGCTCATCTGCATGTTAAAGCAACACATTCAATGCCACAGTTCATTAAAATGTGATTTTTAAGGAGAAAAAAAAACCTCACACAAAAAGGACACGAAAATTAAGTAGTTTGGTGCAGAGTGCTTTACATGGTTTGAAGTGACAAGTTGATGCTTAGTTTCTACCATCATGACAAAAACTTATGAGTAAAAAGGAAACAATCTAACCAGACCAAATAACTTTTGTTCTTAAAGAAAAAGAAATTTTAAAGACTAAGACTGTTTCTTCTTCAAATCAGTTTCTGGAATAATAAACAATTAGAACATGTTGCAGTAAAAATACCTGTCTTTGCAGCTGCTCTGTTCCTTCTTTAAAACTTATTAAGAAAATGTAGTTCTCATGATATAATTAACCAAAATTTAATATCGTAGGAGGCACTAAGGAAATAAAGGACCAATGGTATGATCTGGTTTTTGGAAAATATTCAAATAATTCATTGTTCCAGTCATCAGTTCCCCATGCCTATCTCTCCTAATGAAATTCTAGCCATCATTTTGGAGCAGATAGCGACTTTTTTCTGGGGACCTCAAAGCACTTCCCATCTTCATCTTCTCTCACAAATACTTTTGGAACAATGAGGGAAATATTAGATAAGCCCAGAACACCAAAGGAGGAACAGGGACAATGAAGTGTGGGAGTCAAAAGCCCATTATTTTAACCTCTAGCCTTTATTCTCTTCTCTAACACAATCAAATGAAAGTTCAACTTGATGAAATGCCAATATACCCAGGGAAAATAACCCCAGCCAAAGATGAAAGCTGAAAGCCAAGCAGAGGATATATGGCAATAAAATAGGTGCCACAGAAGACTGTGTAATTTAGGGAAATGAGTATCCTCTTTATAGATAATTTTCAAGTTAAACCTAAAATAGTAATATTAGAGACTTTACCAGACGATTTCTGAGATCCCTTCCAACTCTCATTTTCTGATTCTATAATTGGCTACTGCAATGGCACTTAGCTGAAAAAAACTGTTTAAAATGACTAGAATAAAAGATACTTCTATCACGTGGCAGTATTAGTGGTTCATGGATAAAACTGCATCTGAATCAAACTTTCAAGATTGTAAACCAGAACATGATCCTACCTTGACTCTCAGAGAATAAACATCTTCATAGGACTGTTCCCATTTATGATATTGGTCTAGTAATCCACACAGGAAAAATCAAGTGGATGAAGAATGATATAGCCCAGATTATGACAATCAACTTGGATGCACAACCCAGAGATTAACTCCATGTGCGCACACGTGTGTGTGTGTGTGTGTGTCTGTATCTTGGACAGGTACTGCAGATGAACAACAAAATAGGTCCAAATTTGGAAAGAACAACAAACAAAGCACATATGGGAAACTGTGCAGAGCTCTGTGTGAACTCAAGAGAGTCAATGCCAAAAAAATACACATTTTTTGCATCAATATTTTTCTATGAATCATAGAACAAATATAGTTTTGGAAAAAATCAAAGTAGCAGATGACCTGAAGAGCAATAGAAAGATTCATGTCATTTTACTTAGACCAAAGGGTGTTACCGACAACGATTTTTACACCAGAAGTATGGTGTAAAAGGACATGTGTGATGAAAAAAGGGATAGGACAAACATGCATCAAGAGTGAGGGACAAAGGTAAAGCCTGAGTTAAATTGCACTGCTATCCACAAAACATTTAAAGACCCATAAGGAAAGAGCCGCCCATTTGGGTAGCTCTGCTATGGAGTATCTATGAAAGAACAAAGATAAGAATCACTCAGCATTTCAAGGCATGAAGGGGCTATGGTTTGTTAGACCAGTGGGAAGAGTACCTACCACCAATAAAATCAAGGAATCTTCAAAATAATTTCATATAGATCATTTCAGCTACAAGCAAGTTCCAGCCACCTTTAAAAGGAAACCCCCTGGGGTTTAATTAATAAGATTTTTCTAAACAACTTTAGCTATGTTTCCTATGGTATTCTGAATTACTAGGTAATATACAAACTCTAGTGAATATAAATAAGGGAACCAGACTCAAAAAGTCTGACATGGCAGTCATGAAAATAAATCCCAGTTCACATATCCAAGGGCATAAAACAAGTCAAATACAAATAGATAATAAAAGTTAAATAATGAACTCAAATCAGATAGAACAACTTAATAGCTAGGTTCTTGACTTTAGGTTTTGATCTATGTGTACAGAACAATGTTAAGGCTGCACTGGGAGAGAGTACAAAAAGGGGTGATCATGACCTTCATTAGATACAAACAAAGCAAGAACCCCTGCTTCCTGATCAACCATCTATTCCCAGAAGTTAGGCTCTATCAGCACACTGTAAGTTCCTAGGACTTGACTCTGAAAATTGTCTCCTTTTTCTGTGCAGGGGTCTTACCCAGCAATGAATAGAGATGCTTTGGTATCCTCTACAGTGAGATCCTGAGAGTTGCTGAAGAAATTCAGTCTGAAATATCAAATACAGTCAAGGGCTAGGGATGATGGGGGGAGGGAACCTCAGGTAGGAGTTTGTCTTACATTACACTGCTCACCTTCACACAAGGTTACTAATAAGGCAGTTCCCAATTCAAAAGGTAAACAAGGCATCCAGCTGTCTGAACCTAGACTATAATTCATAATTTTCCAAAGCTCCACTTCTACCATGAAGCTATCTATATCTACCTACTCCATTTACTTTTTCTTTTTAGCTACTCAGTCTGGACAAATGTCCATGGTTATTATGCTCTCAATTCCAAGTCATCTTATGAACTGAGGCCCCTAATGGAGAAAGGACTTCTGCAAATCCTATTTCATAGACTAGAGCTGTGGAGAAACTCAATACTACTGTTTCTTACTAGAGTCACAGAGAAGATGTTTCTCCTAAGGGCCTAGGGGGCAGGATCATTGCTAAAATGACCAACTTGCTATATTCCCTGTGCATGATATTTCATCTCCCATTTGTGCATTCACACAGACGGTATTGCTCCCTATCCCCCATTCCTGGAACGCTCTCATTGGAATGACCCCCACCTCTTGGGACCCCTATATCCTTTCCAAGGGCTCAGCTCAAGCACTACCTCCTACAAGGGGCCTTTTCCAATTGCCCCAGCTGTTAGTCCTCAATGTCCCTGATCCTTACTTATCCATGTACATAGTTTCCCCTAGTGGAATGTAAGGTCCTTGAGAACAAAGCTGTTTCCATTTCTGTCCTTGTTTCCTCAGAGTTTAGCACCATGCCTGGTACACAGCAAGCACTTAATAAATGTTTGTTGAATTGCACAGAACATTCATTCTAATTTAGAATCACAGAAGTTCAAAATTGAAAGGAATTTTAGTGGTTTTCTAGTCCAGACTTGGCAATATCTTTTCAACTAATCTTGTATTTTCTACAATGAATATTAATCTTTTCTATGATATTCTCAGGTGGTCATCCAACCTCTGATTGGATACCTCCATTGATGGTGAATCCATTAACTGACAAAACATCCTATTCAACTTGACAGTTCTAATTGTTAGGAGGAAAAAAATCTTTAAAAAAAAAAATACTGAGCTGAAATCTGTCTCCCTATACCTTTTACCCAAGTCCCCCTGAAACCAAAGAAAAAAATTCTAATCCTTCTTCCACAAGATGGCCCTTCTAATAGCTGAAGGCCATTACTATGTCTTCATTAAGTCTTTTCTCTGAGGGCTAAATTATCTCCCACACCTTCCTCTTGTGATATCATTTAAAATCCCCTCATTATCTTCGTCATCTCACTCTGGATATGCTTGTCTTCCTTCAAATGCAGTGCTTGAATGATTTCAGATACGGTCTGAACAGACTTGGGCAAGGGGCTACATGGATGCTTAACATATATTTGGTCATCTGAAAACAGATCCTCCAGGTTTGTGATCATTACTTGAGAAAGGTTGTTAATACCTAAAATTACATATTATTGTTGATTTTTTAAAATTAAATAATTTGAGAATTTGCTGCTGGGGGTCAGAATTTCTCTTTTCACCTTCCTCATAAACTCTGGTGTGGGCTGGTGTGTCTTTAATAATTAGGAGGTTTCAGGTTTCTTAGGAAGCTTTGGGAGGATACACTTTGGTTTTGTACACACAGAGGTGTACATAGTCCCCAAGTCCCTTTCAGTTCTACAATTCCTTAAGTGTGGAAGAAATGAACTAAGAGATCTAGGGATCTGAGGTATGCTTTCTGGAATACTGAAGAATATTTGACTGCAGTAGGGTCTGAAAAAGCTCTGAGAAGGCAATTACTATATCTCTTTTGTTATATATAGTGCTATGTACATCACGGTACCTCACACTGTATTAGACGTTAACAATAACATTTATATTAGATGTTATCAGTACAACTCAGATGAGGTCAGTTAACAGTGGGCACAAGTTGCCATGGGAAAACATGTTCTAATAATGCCTTTGGTCTCTTCGGCGATGTAGCTGTGAAAGGTCTGAACATTCCATTAGCCAGAACTTAAGCGTATACTACAGTGCCAACCAACTGCTTTTTGCTACTTTCCAGTCACCATCTTTTCTGAGGCTAAAGGAATCCCTCAAATGAAAAATCCATCCTCAAGTCAGCATTACATCTAATTAAGGAAAGGTAGTTCTTTGAGTTGATCCCTTTGGGTAGACTGCAAAGTGGGCTTGGGATTTTCTTAACAAGCACATTAAGACACACCTCCCCCTTCTCCACCTTCTTTTTAAGAAGGAATTCTAACATCTGACATGCAAACAGAAAATATGAGCAAACCGAAAATATTNCAACAGCTTTGCTTTGTTCTGTCTCTATTTCTTGTTTCACTTCCTACTGATTCCCTTTTTTCTTTCTCCTTTACAAGTGAGTCATACATCAGCATATGCTATAACAAACAAATTTCTAGCCTCTGCTTTCATCCCTCCAAAACACACACACACACACACACACACACACACACACACACACACACACACTTCTATATCTACTAAAACTACAGTATTGCCAGGAACTTTGGGTTAAAGGGAGAGAAATAATCCTACCTCACATCTGGAAACTAAGAATTGTGGTCCCACCTGCCTCTCCCATGAAGAAATAAAGCTGAGAGAGGTTCTCCTGGGAAACTGCTGTCTTTCCAGAATGACTGCTTATGCACAAATGGTGAATACCTTTATGTTTGTAAAGCTGTATGATGTTTTTAGCTCTAGCATTTCAGCCCTCGGTAGTTATAAGAGAAAAGTAATTTTCAATTATAAGACAGCTTCATGTCAATGAACTTAGCTCATTTGTTTTGGAGGGTGTGGAGTTCTTTATAGTCTAATTTTTAAGATATATCATTCATGAAGAAGAAGAAGAACAGTGTAATGGACTGTCTGCCTTAGAATCAAGATAGGAGGACCAGGTAGCACCTCCGGCAGAGATACCATGGGGAGATAGTACAATGGGATCCCACAACCTCTAAGTGGCCCCAGCCAACTCTACAAGACTTTGAATCGAAGAACAGTAGCTTACCTGCATTGATAGAGAGAATTTCCTCAATGGGGAGAACTCCTTATAATGTTGAAATCACAGAACAAAAATTAAAAAAAAAAAAGGAGGGCTGAGGGTGGCAAAAATAGCTTTTCAAAGACCTGAGTCTTTATTTCCCATCGTAATCTTAATAAGCAAAAAGACTTTAAAAAACTTCATTAAATAAGCAAAAAGAAATCTAATAGTATTCCAAGTTGTTAACTATTTCATTTTTTAAAGTATATTTGATCTCAGAGTTGCATTATGCTTCAGAATCCTGAAGACATGTCAATAGGCAACTGGAAAAGGAATGAAGTTCTTTCAGAGTTAGCTTCATTTATAATCACAAGGTTCTTGTGAGGGTCAAATGAAATAATGTATGTAAAGTGCTTTGAAAACTTTAAAGCATTATTTAAGTATCAACTATTTTTATCATGCTGTGGGTATGATGAGAGTTAATACAAGAATTATGACCACAGGGATTGGGGAGGGGGGCAGATAGTCAAAGAAGGCCACTGAAGAACACTGATGAAGAACATATCCTAGATGCCATTTACGGCAGTGCTGGCTATCAACAATACACTTTCTTAGTGGATAGACAATGGTAAGATTTCAATTTACTACTTAAAAATCAACACTCTAAAACTTCCTTTGTCTCTCTGAGCTTCAGCTTCTTCATTTCTAAAATGAGGAAGTAGGTCTCTAAAGTTCCTTGCAGTTCCAAAGTCCTGTGATTCTATGAGAAATTTTGGCCAAGTCCTCATAAATGCAACTGGCCACACAGTGGCACAATTTAGACGGGTGCAAAACACACAGCAGCAATTGGGTACAACCCCAGAAAAGGCAAGAGGCATAATTCTTCCTTTGGCTACTATCATTCTCCCTCAACTGTTCTAGATAAATTGAAGGACCTGAAGATGTTAAGCCTAAAGAAAAGAAGGCTTAGGGAGAGACATTTAGGGAGTGTCTTCAAATATCTGAAGGACTGTCACATGGAAGAGGACAGAACAAGCAGCTGCAGAAGCAGAGAGAGAGAAAGAGAGGGAGAGAGAGGGAGGGAGAGGGAGGGGGAGAGGGGGAGAGAGAGAGGGAGAGAGGGGGAGAGAAAGAGAGAGAGAGAGAGAGAGAGAGAGAGAGAGAGAGAGATTGAGATTTAAACTTGATGGAAAAGGAAAACTTCTTCACAATAAGAGCTATTTATCCAAAAGAAGAGTAGGGAGAGAAAGTGGGTTTCCCCATCCCGGAAGTCTTTAATCAGAGATTTGGTGATTCCTTATCAGTGATGTTGTAGATAGGACTCTTGATCAGCCACAAATTGGACTAGTTGGCCCTGGAAGCCCCTCCGCCTTTTAGATTCTTTAATTCTACAATTTTAATTTAGTTTTTGGAGACAGATGAAGGAGGAGAAAAAGGAAAATCTTTTTTTTTTGTATTTTGGTTCGGTGAGTTCAGATAGGGCTAGGGCAGCTCTTAGAAGTTGTCTAGGATGCTAAAATTCCAAGTAACACCTTTTCCTCAGTCTCGAATGACCTACAATTTAGAAATACAACCCAAGAATTTCTGTAGGAAGAAGTGAAAATACTTCATCTTAAGCTATTTTGATCTGATGGGAAAATACAACTCAGGTTGTTTAGTACAACATCAGAATGGAAGGAGGTATAACAAGGTAATTCTAGCAGTGGGCATGGCAGGAACAGGAACAAAGAGGTTATGGGAACAGAATGCCCCCCAGGTATCCTCAACACAACAGATCTGGGTATGCAAAGAAGATGAAGAGCAGAGTTCTTTATAGCACAGAAATATGTGCTAATCTAAGCTAAGGAGGCTGCTCTTTGTCTCAAAAGTTCACTGCTGGAAGAAAATAAGCCATTATGGAAACGATAAACAAATAAAGCAAATAAGATTTCGGCCAAATGGGAAACCATTCAGGATCCACAAAGTCTGAGAAGATGATCTCTATACTGCTAAGGCTTATCAACTAGAGTTCAGTCAAGAGTAAGTTGATCATCCAGCCCTCTGACCAGTTTGCCCACTGCTTAAAGTGCCTTCCTCTACTAGTGAAGGGCAGTCATTCATATACTTCGTTTGTCACCAGAGACACACTTAGACCTCTGCAAAATGCAGTCACTGATACACAAAGTAGTGGGTATGATGCAGCTCTGAGAAAAATCATGTTATGGCCTTCCACCACATATGAAACTATGAGGGTGGGGTTGTTCCCAAGAGGAACCAAAGGCACATGATGTCATCATGTCCTTCATATACAATGATGATGCTACTAACCCATCATGGAAAGAGTATATACTTTGGGTTATTTTTCCCGGTAGGAAGGATGGATTTTTTGATGAGTCAGGCACACAAGCTACACGAGAGGCTAAGGAAAAAGCCAAAGGAGAGCGTGGAGAAGGACTATCCTGATACCTGAAGGTGTTCAAAGGACTTCTGCAATCCTGGATACAATGAAAACTCTTATTAACCTGTCAATCTTGGCATATTTGATTCCTCACAAAGAGACACACTCCTTCAAAGGCTGAGTTTTCCTTGAAGGAAACAGGGCACTACATATTCCCTATACAAGTAGTAGATTTATCTTCCTCTCTCGCTTTGAAATGCTACTGACCTGACAGCAAGACTACTCACAACACATTATTTTTAACTCTATGGAAAAGGCTGCCCAAATTGCTCAGAACAAAAGGCAAGCCTCTAGAGTAACAGGTGAAAACTATTTCAAAGGTGAACTGAAATGCATTTTAAAAATAAATAACTTAATAAATAAATTGGTCTACTCCTTACAATCCTAAGACACTAACAGAATTGACAAAAGGAATGAGGAGAAAAAGGAGGTAAAAGCAACAGACAAATCCTGGTTCTCCTATCCTTTCTCTGCCTAAGTACCAAGTTGCTCTGGCAACAGCTAAAAGCACCACCTGATACCCTGTGGCACTCCTAGGATTTAAGGTTAATTGTGTGGGGAAGTGGAAGAGGGGGGAGACTGTCACCAGGGAAACAGGATTTGGCAGGGAAATGAACAAGTAACAAAATGAGCAGCAACCACAGAGCTCCATTATCACCTCTCCCTAAAAGACTTAAGAGGATCAAAGATGGTAAGCAGCAACTCCAGAAAACTCTCATTTGGTGAGCTTTTTACATGATTCTTAACAGGTAGGAAAACGTGACAAAGAGAATTACCTGAACAGATTTCACTGCATTTGGTTCTAAAGCAAATTCTCTAGCAACATTCACATTCTAGTAACAAAGAGGTGGTGGGAAGCTTGGATTGTTTACAATAACCAGACTACATTCTTCTTCATACAAAGACAGAGCCACACTTCGGTGTCAGGAAAGTGTGTCCTAGAATTGTAAAAGAGTCATTTGGTACCTGATCGCCACTTCTAACCATATCTAACCACTTTTCTCTTTCTGCTGCAGTGGCCCTGGGTTAGGGTGACTGCTTACTGACAGAAGGAAGTGGTGGGGAATCTTTTCTTCCCAGGAGACTCTAAAAATACACGGGATCTTAGAGATTACATTAAAAATTCTTTGCATTGGTAGCAAGTACACAGACTTAGCAGCTGAGGACTCACCACAGGGAACAAGGCATAGTCCTCAAAGGGCAGTAAGGCCTCTTCAAACAGAAGAGCCAGGGCTAGGCTAACAACAAGGAACAGGTTAGGAACATGGCAGTGGAAAGAGGCTGGGCAGAAGAATTCTTTCTCTTTAGCATCTCAGTTTCTTTTTATAAACATGAGCTTTCCCCTTCCTTAGTGATTTGGAAAGCCACAGGTGAAGAGGGCAGAGGCCCACTTCACAAATTTATAAAAACAAGGAGGCTAGCATGTGCCACAAATGGCATAAGGATTTGGGGAAAGGAAGCCACCCCCAGCTCAGTGGCATACCTTGTATGAAGCAAAAAAAGAGACAAACAAAAAAAATCCCACTTCCTTTTAGGTTCTTGTCTGATGACTTCACAGAGTGATATCCCTGAAGTTTATATCAGGAGAAACTGTCCAAGTGTAACCTGTAAAAATGGTGGAAGGGAAAGAAGCTATTCCTAGGTCAACAGGCAGGCATGCCAGGCAGGCAAGTGCAAACTTCAGAAGCCTCACACTCAGCATTTAAGCAGGTTGTCCATAGAAAGCAAAAGGTGTCAGGAAAAAAAAAATCCCCCTTTGCCCACCAGACCTATGGCCTCAGCCCCTCAGCTGGTGTAATATACATGGTAGTAGAGAGTTTTGTTGCGTAGCAGTGAGTAGGAATTGTCAAATTTAAGCAGGTAGATGCCTTCTCCCGGGTAGTCATGACAACCAGCCTGTACATCTCGATGGCTATCTCTCCGATAAACTGGCATGATCTCCCCATAGCGATTCCGCAGAGAGCTCTTGGAGCCCATCTCCACATCTCCAATTGGGACGAGTCCTACACGAGGAAAGCAGCAGAAAGGTTTGGCATTAGGTCAATGGGCAAGCAGAAGGGAAAGTCAAGAGGCAAGTCCTGCCTCGAGGGACAAGGGGACAGACTAAGTTAACATTTCAGGGTCCTTCATAGTCCTCAAAGTATATAAATAGTTCAGGATTACAGGAATAACACATTGTGACATTTAGCAAGAAAACATTGGTTTCTTTTGCATGGGACAGATGAAGGCTGGCTCTGAAGGAAAAAAAAACATAATAATTTAAGTTAACCATAAAATTTCAATTTTCCCTATTAGAACACAATAGCATATGAAAGGATGTGGTTCTCTATGATTCAGGATGCCCATAGATTTCCCAGCAGTCATGGACTCAATAGAAAAAAATCTTAACCATGACTACTTTAAAGAAAGCATGAAGGGAAAAGATTTTAGGGAGATGCTGGAAAATGAAAGAACTCTACTCATATGATGAGTGTAATTGGCTTGGTTCTAACTCATATTATTTTATTGAAACCACCACCTTGACCTCCCACACCACCTGGATTGGCTTTGGATAAACAATAGAGTAGACAACCCTAATGTTCTTACATAAGTGTTTTTCAGTGTTTCTCTGGATACAAAAATGTCAATGTGTGACACCCAGTGTGAATCACAGAAGCTGGACAGGATATCTCATCGTGTAAACAGTACAACTACCTCAGTGCACAGATGAAGAAATTCAGAGATAAAACAATTTGCCTCAGGGGTCACATTTTGAGCTAGTAGAAGAGTGAGGATCAGAGCTCCAATTATAAAACTCAGTCCAAGACTCCATTTTACCACTTAGGACACCACGGGGGAAAATCAGTGGTTTGTTTGGGTAGAGTACATATAAATTTAGAAGGCTGAATGTTTTAGCACCAAACTATTTTCTGATGCTATTTGCTAGACTGGACCATGTACCACCCATCTATATTAGTTATATCAGTCCACTTGACTTCACCAACTTAAAATTTAAAAAAAGGATCTTTCTTCCTGCTTTCCACACTATTTCAAGTTGCTGAGAGACAAGGTAAGGTTTAGTTCTGGAACTCTAAGGGGCTCAGTCAACAGAAGAATTCCCAAACACAGGAGACTACAATTGAGCTAGTGTCAGAAGAAGTAGGGGATAAGGCTTCCCTAGCTACTCTTTACCCAGTAGATGGTAATAGGGATCTAATTACTGGGATAGAACCAGCACTGTCCGGAGTTATCTCTTGACAGGGGGCCACTCACCACATCCCAAACCAACCACCCTGGAGGAAGAATAAGATAACCCAATCCACACTCAGGCCAGACTGCTGACCAGTGGCTTCTGTTGGCTAGGAGGACCAATGCCCACTACCTAGCCTCACTTCACCAGCAGCACAGGTGAAGCAGACCCAAGCCTGGCCCATTTGACCTTGCAATGCTCTTTAGAGACTAAATTTCTCTACTCATCTGCTACCCACTACTATCCCTTCGCCTTCATTTGTTTCTGTTCCTATCCCTATACTTATCAATCATCAGCCATTTAGGAAAAACTGTCCCTAGCCTCCAATTCCTATTATCTCCTCCTCATCTTCATTCCCCCTCCACCCTATTCCACACATATTGTACTTCAAGCCTGCCTAATCCTCCTACTGTGCCATCAGGAATTACGGTCCCATAGTGAACAAACTCCCCTTCACCCTGAACCCCCCTCCTTCCCCTTTCTCTTATGCTTTTCCATTGGCCCTGACTAAAACCTCTCTAATGACATTACATCCCTTGCACCCCTGGCATTCTTCTTTGGCACTGGACGCACTTTTTCTCACATTCCTCAAGACACTGGTCCTAGAGGAGAAGCTGGAATACTTATTACTCTCCACTATCATTTCCAGACTCTACCTTTACTTAACAATCTTTTCTCTTTTGCAGTTCACTTGATCTAAAATTTCCACCCAATTTGTTTTTGTTTTTTGGTCTGTGTTTTCTTTCACAACGTGACTTACATGGAAATGTGTTCTGCATGACTACACATGTATAATCTATGTCAAATTGCTTGCCTTCTCAATGAGGTGGGGAGGGGAGGGAGTGAGAGAATTTGGAATTCAAAATTTCAAAAAATAATGTAAAAATAATTTTTATATTTAATTAGAAGAGAGAGTATCCTCTCTAAAATATTAAATTAAAAATGTAAATAAAAATAAAATAAAATTTCCACCCAATTTGAATTATGATAGCTATAGTATATCGACACCCTTCCCCCACATCATCCTCCCTCCTTATTCAAATCTTCAATTCCTGCTCTTACACAAGGGGGCTTTCATAAAAATTTAGAATAATCTTCCCTCAAACTCCTTAAACTGTATCCTTGCCCTCCTTAAATCCAACCAGTTACTCTTTCACTCAACCTCAACCACACATAGGGAATGGTCACATTCTCACTATTATCCATAAATATTCCATTTCCCTAATTCAATAACCTATCCTATTCCACTGCTCTTTATGGTTCATCTTCTAAACCTATTTTTTGACCTCAAGACCTCCAGCTTCTCCACAATATTTTCTCAGACCTGTTCTGACTTCCCTTCCCTTCCTCTCCAATCTCAACCCAATAGTTAGCTATTTCAACTCTACACTGTCGTGTTCTTGAATCCTTTGTCCCCTTCTAGCACCACTCATCCCTTGCCAAATCTCAATCTTAGATTACTCTCACTATTGGCCTCCTCTGCTCCTACTCAAGGGCTATTGAATGCAGCTGGAGGAAGTCTCACAACCATACTGACAGTGTACATTAAAAATTTCTGTTATCCATACTCACTGGACCCCAACTACAGCAAGGCAGTTCACTTATTCTTCCCCAACTGATTTGCTATCTCACTCCCCACAGAAGTGATTTCAAAATGTCTCTCCCCCTCCTTCCCAGCTTGTTTCTTCATTGAAAAATTTCTGACCATTCAACATAAGCTCATTCTTTTTCCACACAAGTTCCCTCTCCTTCCAATATCTTAATCTCAAAGCCCCTCGATATCATCCCCTACTCCTTCATTTCTCCCAGTAACTGACCAAGTGGTGGCCTTTCTCCTATCAAAGACAACCCCTGTAAGGGTGCACTTGACCCCATCTCCTCCTCTCTTCTCTAGAATGTGGCATCAACCACTATTCCCTATTCTTGAGTCTTCAGTTCTCCATAAACATCCACTTCCATGCCTACTACTTTCAAACATGCCCAAGGTTCCCCCAACCTTAAAAAACCTTTACTAGACCTCTCGTTATCATCCTATATCTCTCCTCTATTTTCAGCTAAATGCCTTGAAAAAGCTGTCCACACTTGCTACCTCTACTGGCTTTCCTTTCAAACACTCCTCAAACTCTTACAATCTGGCTTCTGACCTCACTGACTAAACTGAAACTACCCTCTCCAAAGTTCCCAATGATCTCTTAATTACTAAATCTGATGGTCTTTTTGTAGTCCTAATCCTTCTCAACCTATAAACTTCATTTAACACAATCCTTTTTGGATACTCTCTCTTCTCTTGATTTTTGTGACACTTCTTTCTCCTGTTTTATCTTCTATTTGTCTGACCACTTTTTCTCAGTCTTCTTCGTTAGTTCATCATCCATAACATAGCCCCTAAATATACCAAGGTTTTGTCCTAGGCCCTCTTCTTTCTATATACTCTCTCTCTGGGTAAGCTCATCAACTCCCATGGGTTAAGCTATCATATAACCACACCTAATCTCAACTTCAGTCCTGCATCACCAATTACCTATGGGATATTTCAAACTGGATGTCCAAGAGACAATTTAAACTCAACGTGTCTGAAACCAAACTCATTATCTTTCCCCCTAAACCATTCCCTCTCCCAAGCATTCCTATTTCTCTCAAATATATCACCATCCTTCAAGTCTCCCAAGTTCATAACCTTGGCATTATCTTCAATCTCTCACTACCCCTCACCCCACATACCCAAACATATGCCAATTATTTCCATTTCTACCTTCACAACATCTCTCACATCTGACTCTTTATCTCCAATTACACAGCTATCATCTTAGTTCAGGCCCCCATCATCTCTCACCTAGATTATTACAGTAGCTTCCAAAATGGCTGCTCTGCCTCAAGTCTCCCATTGCTCCTATCTATCTTAAATGCTTTTACCAAAGTAGTTTTACTTAAATGTTGATCTGACTGTGTGACTACGCAATCAATCAACTCCATGGGCTTCCTATCGCCTCTGGGACCAAATATAAACTCTTCTGTTTTAGCTTTTAAAGCCCTACACAAATGGGCTTCAGTCCATCTTTCCAGTCTCACTGGATATCACTCTTCCTCTCACACTCTGCAATACAGCCAAACTGGCTTTTCCTCTGCTCCTCACACAGACACTCCATCTCTTACCTCCACGACTTTGTACTGGCTCTCCTCCATGCACAACATGAACTACCTCCTTACCTCTGCCTGATAAAATCCTTTTTTTCTTTTAAGATGCAACACCAGCATCATCTTCATGAAGTTCTTCCTGAGCCCTTCCTGCAACTGCTAGTATCATCCCTCCAAAACTGTAAATATTTATATTTATTCACTTGAAATTTATGCTGTATATAGTTTTATATTTCCTCAATGTCTCCTTCGTTAGAATTTAAGCTCTTTGCAAGCAGGAATGGTTTCACTCTTTGTACTTGTATCCCAAGCAACTAACATGGTATCTGGTACAGAGTGGGCATTTAATACACTTGTTGACTGACTGACTGGTCTACACTACTGGACAAGGAGCCAAAAGGTCTCAGAGAAGAATACCTGGGAAAATATGGACAAAATGGACCCATCAATCCATCAATCACACTTTAACAATGGTACAACTGGAATGGAGACTAGCAGCAGCTGGAGGGAATGAAATAATCCAGTCAGCTGTGGAAGTTCAGAGGAATGTAGGCCAATGAGAATGTAACCACACAACTTGGAATTAGTCCAGGGCTTTGGGATAAACATCCTTCGACCAAGGAATTCCATAGAACAGTGGAACCAAACTCAAACAGAAATGGGAGGGCACCATCCATAAGGATTCCTGAGGGCTGCACACTAAGCAAACCACATACTAACATTATCTATATTCTGGTACATTTTGATTTGTTTTGTTAAGCATTTCTCAGTTACATTTTGATCTGGTGCTGGCCACACTCTGGAGTGTTACGGGTCATGCGTTTGACACTTCTGCCATACAATACCAATTTTATTTCTGATCTGAAACACATTGCCTGCCTTTCCCCAATTAGCATTGTCCTTGGGCCTCGCTCAGTACTTATTTAGAGGGAACAATGTCCCTAAATGAAGCACCTGAGTGTTCTCTCAGAAAGTACCTTAGACCTTTAGCTCACAAGACCAAATGGAATTCTATGACTAGCTTGAGGGAATATGACAGAGGTACAATGTAGCCATCTTAGAATAAGAAGAACCTGCTACAGCTCAGGATTAAAAACAGGTAGTGGAAATTGCAAACAAGGTTGGTGTCATACTTGCCTTCAATCCCTCCCTCCCCGTCCTCTTCATCATCCTCATCCTCATCACTGGACTCACTGACATGCACAGTGACAGCAGTGCTGGTTACAGGGGTCCAGTCAAAATAGACACCAAAGCCAATGTCATAATTATCAGTGGCAAATTCCCAAAAGAGGCGCTTCCCGTCAGGGTGGGTGGGTACACGTACTGTCACTACCTCACCCCGCTTCACCACCAGCCGAGAATTCTTCACCTTGCTCATCTTGGTTTTGAATTCCTTCATCTTGGCAAAGGTCCATATGGATGGAGGAGACAGAGGAGGTGTTGAGACTGAAAGAAACAGAAAGTTTATCATAGGGGGAGGGGACACTTAGGAAAAGCTAGACAGACCTGGCACTTATGGAAGCATGGCAGTAGAAAAGCATTTTTCCTATCCAATTCTTTGACTCTGTCATCTCTCCTTTTTTTTTCTTTAAAGAGCCCATGCAAAGACAAACCACTTCTCTCTCCCAAGATCTCACCTCTTCTCTGTTCTCCGAGGAGATCTGCAGACTCCAATTCAGTTGAGAGGGCATCCACAGTTCCTGTATCTCCTGTGTCTGACTGGATCATAACCACGTCTCCTGATCCTTTTGGTGCTTGGTACTTGCTCATCTGAACAACAGATTCCTGGTTGAAGGGTATGCCCCAGAGGTCCTTATTAAGCATTCTTTGCCCTGAATAGTTCAAAAAGCTTCTGGCCAAAAGATAACTTCACCCTAACATTGGCATCAGTAATGAAAACATTTCCCCTCTTATCCTGCTTCAAAACCTAATATCCTATTTAACCTTGCTCCTCTCCTCTTCTCTCAATGACCAGGCTTCACTCAATTTCTTCTGGCCTACTCCTATTCCTAGTTGTTAGATTCTTATTTCAAAGATTTCTCCTTACTCTTTCATCTGCCTTTCACAACTTACCCAACTCCACGCTTTCTAAAAATCTTTGCCCACAACCGTGATCATATTCATATTTTCTTTTGCATTAAATTTCTGCAACCTACTCTAAATTTTTTACCTCTTATCCTGCGGAGGCACCTCCCTAACTATTTTCATCTGTTCTTATGCCACCTGGGACTTAACTCTCCCTCCCACAGTGCCATGAATTCCCCTCCTACTTTCCCTATTCACCTCCCACCTTCCAGGTAACTGTCAATTAATACTTCATAAAAGCACTGTACAAATACACAAGACAAATACTTTCTTCTCTGTACCACCTGGCTCTTTGGTTCCATGTTTAAATTTCGTTGTCTGTTTACCTTCTCAGCACCCTGAGGTAGGAACCGTCTTGTTCTCTATTTTATTCAGCCCTAATGGTGCTCTGCAAATAATTATAATCTAATCACCGACACCAAGGGGGGGGTGGGGGGAGAGCCTGGTTTTATATTTAAACACTGTTTTTGCTTCCAGAAGCCTGACCTGTAATTTACAGTCCAAATGTAGTCAGCTTTGTCTTCTTAGATTCAAAGCCTTCTCTAACTCATGTGACCAGTTCATAATCTAATGTTGGATGTTTCCTTCAGATCACTGTTCTACCTAAGAGAGGTGTGTTATTACTCCCTGGCTCCTTCTCCCAGTAGCAGTTAGTTAACAGAAATGCTATACCTACTGGCAAAAGGACAGAATACATCACAAAGAAACTGGAAAGAGCGTTAGAGGCTCTAGTACTTTCACTTACAAGTAGTGTAATTGTGAATATGTGGAAACAGATCTAGTTTGTAATCCTTTTCCAGTTTTCTCACAGGAGTACGTTTCCAGCAATAAATTGTTCCAACTGTCCCCTGTGTGTATGTGTAAGCCAGACCCCTTGAAGTGGTGTTCAAAATGAGCCCTCTCTTCTCCCAAAGGAATACTTTTTTATTTGTCTCTTTAATACTTCCTCTACCCCTAAAAGAATGAGGAGTTCTGCTACTAATATCATTCCTCTGAAATCTTAACCAGAAACTTTACGCAGATGTACATTTTTTTTTAAGTGGGGAAGGGAGAGACAGAAAAAACACAACCTAGGGATAAAGACATCATAGTGGAATAGAAAGAACATAGAATTTGGAATCAGAAGAACTGGTTTTGGGTGTTGGTTCCATTATTTACTGCTTATGGAGCTGTAAGGTCACTTTTCATCTCTGTGCCTTAATTTCCTCATCCACAAAATGAAGGGGTGGAACTAGATAACTTCTAAAGTTCTCTTTTTCACTCAAAAGGGCTATGATTCTACAAATATATCTGATTATTAATGAATTAATCTGATATTAAGGCAGTTTTAAGGAACATGGTATCATAATTTTATTCAATTCATTCATTATTGAAGCATTTAATGTGTTGGAACAGAGGAGAGATGGAATTCTGTGAGATAAGCTAGAAATACAAATCTGAAAAATTAGCCTTCTTAGTCTGTAATTTCTGTTTCTACTTTTAATTCTCAAGTTATAAAACCAGACAAAACTTAAGAGGATAATTCCTAGACTGTGGTATCAAAAACTGTCCCCTTTAAGATATGAGAATACATGCTCCTTACCTCTTTAAGAAGTTGGTCTCCTGACAGTGGTTCCTGACCCACCGATGCCTGCTCCTTCAAAGCACCATCACCTTTTCCAGGATTTTCTGCTACATCCTCAGTCACAGAAGATACAATCTGTGGCCTCTCAGAAGAAGATAACACATGAATTCAAGGGCTCTCTGAAGAAACATTCACTTTGGAGCAACTTTGTGAAGAAGTTGGCATCTAAAGGATTCCTCTCTCAGCACTCGGTTCTGCTGCCTACCATGTCCTTATGTTTGCAACGCGTTAGCTGACTAATCACTAAAATTTGGCTGACTTGAAAGTTTTGAAAACTAGGGCTCAGAGGCTGAAAAGGGCAAAGTACCTGTCTCCTAGGATCCATGACAATCACTTCTACGGATGATAAACAAGAGAGAAAAGGAGGAACCTAAGTTGTTCTACTTTACACAAAGGACGTGGAGAGTCGGAGAAGGCACCTAACTCAAATCAGAACAGCCATTACTAAAACAAAGGTCATTTAAACTGATTGACAAACAAATCTACTTGTACTCAAGGGGCAAAGTCTTTCATTATTTCTTTTTACCACAAAATAATCAAATGACCACAAAAAACATATGATGCCTCTTAAGTCATATTGGGGAAATACCTACATTTTGGAGTCAGTTTGTTAAAAATACAAAATGGTATAAGTCCCTCAGTTTACTGATTACTTCCCTCAAATACCTAGAAAAGGGAATATTCAGTTTTATGTTTAAATATTTCCAGGATCAATTATTTTACTGCTCTGGATATTCACTCCACTGGTGTAATCACAACCCCTCCTTGCCTCTTCGAGAGTTGCTGTGGCTGGAAAAATTTATCACCTTGAAACCAAGCCGGTGAATAACTTCTCCAAAGTAAAGTATGCTGGTCTCTGAATGACATACATACCATCATCATTAGCCTCTCCACACCATTATCACTGGCCCTTACTTTTGAAACCTTTTCCAACTGGTAGAATTGACCAACGTTTGCGTACACCAATGGCACAACCTTTAAGAACTTGCCAAGGGCATCTCCATGTCACTACATGGCACTGGAGGAGAATTTCAATCTATCCCAGAGTGAATGAGTTGATTTGTACAGGACTACCTTTGAGAAACATGGATATACATGGTCATCATGGGATCATAGTCTTAGAGCTGGAAAGTTCACCTAGTTCAACCCCCTCATTTCACAGATTAGGAAACTAAGAACCAGGGAAGTCAAGTAACTTAGTCAAGGTCAGCCAGGTAACATGTGGAAGAATTGGCATTTGTACCCTGGTTCCCTGACTATATGTCCAATACTTATTACAATGTGCCCTCACTACCTTTTCTTTAGCTGGTTATAAGCATTCCTTAGGGTTTACAGCATTTAAAAAAAAATCAGTAGATATGATCTGTTGGGTTACTGTGTTGCTCCTCCTTTAACACAACATATGAAACTGGATATTTTTTTCCTCTGGGCATGTTAATTTTATTTGAGAAAAAAGAACAATAATAATGACCTATCAACCACAGAGCATTCAATCTGTCTCACTAGAGACAGCAGGGGGATAAAAAAACTGTATCATTTTTGACAGAGATGTAAAATAATTACTAAACTTAGGCTTTACCATGTGCTGGATTTTAAAAAACAAACCTAAATGTCGTCTTGCCTAAGCCTGCTCTTTTTTCCTCTCCTAAAATAAGTGTATTTAATATCAAAAGGAAAAAAGCTCTTCTGTGATAGCAGCTCCTTCAAATCAGCATGTGCTGAAAATAACGTAAAATGAGGGGATTGTATTAAATTATCTCCCACCTCTAAATCCTATGATTCTATGAATATGGAGCAGAGTAAGGAATGGGGAGAGAAAATTAAGAAAACTGATAGCTGTTCCCATTCTGTAACTAGGGTAGTAGAAAGGGCACTATAAAATTGAGATAATACTTGTACTATTTGACTAACTGGGTTGTTAAGAAAGTTCTTTGTACACTGTAAGACAGTAAAGAAGTATGAGCTATTACTTAATAAAATTCTCAAGAGTCTTTAGGAGGCTGTTTCTTCTAAAGAGTTTGTTATATTCAATAACCTAAAACCTTAAAAATAGAACAAAGTCTTTCAGAATACTAGACAGCATTTACACAGTGCTTTTAAGATTTTGCAAAGCACTTACAAATATTATCTTCTTTTATCTTCACAACAACTCTGGAAGACAGGTGCTAATATTATCTCCATTTTACAAATAAGGAAACCAAGGCATAGAGGTCAAGTGACTTGCCCAGGGTCGCAAAGCAATAAGGGGCTGGATTTGAACTTAGGTCTTCCTGTCTCAAGGTCCAGTAGTCTATTATTCATTATATTGTCATCATGCTGTTTGTAACTAGCATTCTGAATTCTGGAAAAGAAAGAACTTTTCCCTTAGAGATTGATAGAAAAAGAAGAAATTATGTATAGGTATGAGGGGGTGGGGGGAGGAAATCCCACAACCCACTTATATGACTTGGCTGTGTGAAAAGACTGGACTTGGATTCAGAAAATGGACCTTTAAATTGTGGCCCCTCTATACACTAGCTATGTCACCCTGGGTGAGTCATTTCACCTCTAATATCTCAGTTCTGACAACAGGGAAACCGGGATGATAAACTTACACTACCCTAAATCACAGAGTTGTGAAGATAAGATATATATTATGAGATATAGGATATATATATTTAATATATGAGATATAAATGTATACTATATGAGATATATAGAGATTATACATTATAATAGTTTACATTTACATAGCACTTGCAGGTACCAACCTATCTTACAGATATCACCAAACCCTAAATGGGGTCATAAAGAGCAGGACACAACCCAAATGACTGAACAAGAAGACCAATCAGAGGACAGTCTGTGGTTAAGTCACTGTCTTTCTAAGCCTTCTCCACTCATATCTTGAGATGATGGGCAAGGAGATTACAATACAAACACGGACCGCCTATTCAAAAAAATGGAAAACCCCCAAACATTTTTATGTAAATACACTTTAAGTCCTTTATTTTATATATGTCTGAAAATAACAGTAGCTGACATTTGTATTTTTCAAAGCCTTTCATGGTCTGGCTCAAGTCTATCTTTCCAGGTAACTTCTCTTCATGCACTTTACCTTCTGGCCACACTGACTTATTTGCTGTTCCAAAGACACCATATATCTCATCTTTTATCTCTGTGCCTTTAAAGGTACAGGCTCGTTCCCAGGCCTGGATGGTACTTCCTTCTTTTGGAATTCTTAGCTCCCTTCAAAGCTCTGTCTAAACACCATTTCTCTCATAGGGTCTTTCCTGATCAACATCCTCTCCCAAGCAATTACTACACTCCACTCCCCACCCCAATTACTTTTGTGTTTACTTGTGTTTACTGTGTATCTATTTTGCATATGTGTCATTTCCCCTGGCAGAATGTAAGCTCCTTGAGGGTAAGGTTTGTTTTGTTTGACTTTGTAGTGTCGGGTACACAGTAAGTATTTTAACAAATACTCATTGAAGATCATAAACTTAATCTCATTCGCTTCTCATAGCAACCCTATGATAATAGGGGCTTATTGTTGCCCCATATTATAGACAAGTAAACTGAGACTCAGAGAAGCCAAGTGACTTACCCACAGTCACAAAGCTAAAGTGTGTCTAAGATGGGATTTGAACCCAATTATTACTGACCCCGAATCTAGCAATCCCTCCATCACAACAGGCTGCCTCTCATCTGATCAAGAAACTATGCTTAAAATGTCTCAGTGAGTCTGATTTATGTAATAAAATTTAATGAGAAAACTAGTAGCTTAAAAATAGGTATCAGAACCTATAAAACAAAATTCAGGACGGATGAATTAAGTAGGACATAATGGTGCCTATTCCTTATTTTTACTTGTCTCGTCCTGAGGGCTGCTACTCTCTTCCTCACTTTGAGTCCTAAGGCAACAAGAAAAGATCCATAGAAGTTCTGGGGTCTGTTTATTTCAAAGAGCTGCTCTCCCTACCTTCGAGGTGAGGATGAAGGTTCCTGATCAGAGGCAGTCATCACTGAGGAAGCAATATCACTGGTTCTGTGGTTTGTATCCTCATTTTCTAAGGAGGCAAAGAAACAAGAGAAAATAATTTAACATGCAAGCGAAGACATACAGGAAGCACACTGTTAATTACCTGACAGATTTCCTTGGGGGAAAAAATGTTAACAAGTTCTCTTCTTCTCAACATATTCAGGGGCACAGTCTTTAAATCCTGGAAGGATAAACACGTAAATTTTTCAAGTTATTCAACCATTCTATAATCACAACACATTTGTATGACAAGAACTTATGTACCAAAAGAGTTTTCTGCCTAATTCAGGCATACTATAAATCAAGAATAGATTATTCTTGGAAAGCAAGAAAATTCTAAGTATGCCTAATAGAAGACCAGTCAAAGACAGAGTAGAATATGGATAAAATAGACTGGTGGTTCAGAAAACCATCTTTGAATCTAACAACCATAATTCTATGACACAAGACTGAATTCATTCATTTATTCACTCCATTCAACAAAGTTTGACTGAATTCTACTAAGTGCTTGGGATACATAGAAAAGAAATGTTAAGACTCAGACCTTTGTAGTCAAAGAAATCAGCAATTCTTCAATCACTTCTGCAGGTTTTTTCAATACACGGTAATTCGTCTGGCTCATGGTGACTTGAATTCATTTAAAGCATCTATGTACTACTGTCTCTACACTGGGCTTCAATTTCCTCTAATCAATGTTAGCTTTTATGTTTGAAGACCAATTTCATTGGACAAGATGGAAGCAACATAAGAGTCGAGTAGGTCCGTTATCCGTTAACAATACCTCACTTTCCCAAGTCTTGTCCCTTGCTTGGTCATCATCTTGCTCTGAACATAACTAAAAATTTATGAAGGCTATTTCTTTCTCTACATAGAAAAATATTTTTTTAAGGAGGAAATATCAATGGATATAAAAGATAATATAATATCAACCAGCCCAAGGAATTTTTCAAAGGGGATTAAGTACTGATCTTTAGAACATAAAAATACATCTAGGAAAGAAATCCTTAAGGAAAGGTCATTTTGTACTGAACCAAAATGTAGAATACTTACAGGGAACTAGTCTAATTGAGGATATCAGCATTGTGGTCTTCACAGCATCTTGATATCATAATATGTACACAAATATTTTTAGAATTAGGAACAAAATGTTTCTGAAAAACTGATAAAATGGCTACGTATAATTTTTAAATTAAAAAGAATTCTCTGGATTATTTTTAAATTAAGTGATATGGGGGCAGCTAGGTGATACAGTGGATAGAGCACCGGCCCTGAAGTCAGGAGGCCCTGAGTTCAAATCTAGCCCTAGACATTTGACACTTACTAGCTGTGTGACCCTGGGCAAATCACTTAACTCCGACTGCCTCACAACAAATTAATTAAGTGATATGGGTGGGAACCATGAATAATATAACCATACTTAGATCCAGAGGGGCAGTAAGTGATGAAAGTAGATATGAAGAGATATAGTTCTACATTCAGAAGTATAAGGACAGGGGAAAATGCAGTCCTGCTTTACAGAAGGAGACAATTATATAACTCCAGTTTTTTAAAATGCCTTATTTTAGTGAGCTAGAAAAACCAAAGAAGAAAAAGCAAGATGTACTGATAAAAATATGACTTATCTGATAAAAGTACTAATAAAAATTTGTGAAGCAAATTTCTGTTCAGGTACGAGGTTGGCCAGATGACTTTTGTAGCCCCTTCCAACTCACAAGTCTTTGAAATTTGGCAAACATAATACAGAAGAATGGTGAGTGTACCCTTCAAAGAGGCAATAGGGTCCTTGAGAGGTCAAACGAGATAGGGGAGGAAAAAAAAGGAAATCCAAGATTAACTCCTTAATTTATGATTCATAAAACAAAACTGAGCATAGTCAAGTGAGAAAAGAAGTTCAGTTTTAAAAGAACCTACTTTGTGTCTAATACAACTTTCCAAATGAGAGTTCTTTTTCCAGACAATATATTAGAAGCCTAACATCAGAATTTCCTTATGTTGCTGTAGATTCCTATTTAGTGAGCATCTTATACTTTCTCAAAAAAAAAAAAAAAGTCAAGAAAGCAAATCTATAATGCTAGAGAAATGGAATCCCCACTCTTGGATTGGCAGATAATTATTCCTTTTTCTTTGTTTTAGAGCAATTGATATTATTATTTACAGATGGGAGATATTTAAACAAAAAATTTCAACATCCGTTTTACAACTAAGTCATAAGACCATGCAAAACAACCTTTCAAAATTCCTCAGAAGGACACCAAGACAGCTAGGTTTCAGATTCCTGGTCTGGGATCATTAATACTAATATTATAGAATCATAGAAGTTTTAGACTTGAAAAGGGCATTAGAGACAATCTGGGCTTATACTTCTTTTACAGATGGAGAAACTAGAGGCCCAGAGAAATGAAATGACATGTCCAAGATCACAATGCTAGTTGGCACAACTAGAGTTAAAATACCCAGGTTTTCTGGGTCTTCCTTTCAGAGATGTTTTTTTTTTGTTTGTTGTGTTTTGTTTTGTTTTGGGTTTTTTTGGTTTGTTTTCACTGAGACAGATCCTGGGTCACCACCAATCATCTCGACTTTTGTCTGGTCACTGGACTCCAATGATTTGGGAGGAGACAGACTTTGCGCAGCTCTGCCTCACTTAAATCTAATTCAGGCTCAAGTCAAAACATCACGAGGTGATGTCATTGGTCCTCTTTGAGACTGAAGGAAAAGGAGGCAGCTAGGTGGCACAGTGGATAGAGCACCGGCCTTAAAGTCAGGAGGACCTGGGTTCAAATCCAGCCTCAGACCAGACATTTCACACTTACTAGCTGGGCAAGTCACTTAACCCCAATTGCCTAAAAAAAAAGAGAGAGACTGAAGGAAGAATAACAACATCACTGAGGCAGTGATCATATTGCTGCAAGTAAAAATGTCAATCAACCAATAAGCAATGAAATGTCTGCTATTTACGAGGCACTATGCAACAACCAAAGCAAGCCCTGTGTAAAACTGATCCCAGTTGGAGCTAGTGCACTTTTCTCTCCCCCAAACTCCCTGGTCTTCATTTTGCATATATTATTTATGTATGTACTTAAATATGTACAGCTTGTCTCCCCTGTCAGAGTGTAAGATCTTTGAGGAAAGGGACTATTTAATTTTGTCTTTGTATCTCGTTGCTCAACACATATTAAGTGCTCATTAAAAGTTCACTGAAAAAAGTATATCATTTCAGACAAAACTGTAACAGGAAATTAGAAGATAAAAGGAATATTTGCTGTATACCAACTGCATACTGTATTATTTCAGAGCTATGAATGACTGCATCAATTCTATTTCAACAGTTTTAAGCGTTCAGCATCTTATGGATAAGACAGACAACTATATCAAAGTAGCAGTGTGCTCTATTGCAGAATTTCTTCCCTTAGTGCCCATAAAGACCCCCTAAATTAAGACAAATGATGCAACACTTATGCGAAGTATTTTACTTTCTAAAAAGCAACTTGTTCTTTTGGGAACTGAAGAACTCATATGACCCCAAGCAGAAGAGGTTATTAAAAAACAATCACATTAAATAAAACAAGTGCATCTTGATAACTGAAGTATGGCAGCTCCTAAGCTGGTTTCTTACCACAACTTTAGTTAATAATAAACGTGTGACTCTCCAAAAGGTATGAAAATGAACTACAGTTATCTGGGATGGTTGCTAATAAGTTGAAAACCGAATCCTTTTGCTAAAAGCAGATACAGATACACACTCTCTCTCCATATTCCTTATTCTCCTTTGGGAGAGTATAATAGAATTTTCATTCAATCTCATTCTTTTAGGGTTGTTGCTCATGTATTATGTTATTCTCTAGGGAAGGGTGAAAGGAGAATGTGACCAGATGAGTTCCTCTTACACTTAGCAGCTTGCAGAGTTTCCTCTTAAGGCTACCATATTGTAACAGAGCTAAGTCCAGTATCCTAGCATCTCCTACAACATATTTTCATCCAAACCTTAAACACATCCTTGGATATTCCAATTGTAATCCTTTAATACAATTGGAAATCTTTCAGAAATTAACTATTTATAAGGCTGGGAATATTTATATTTATTTGAATTTGTATATTTATAATGACAATTTATAAGCCTGGGAAAAGCTTAGCCATACAGGTTCCACCTGTCTATCTTGAACATTCACAAGGTTAAAGATAGGAGAGGTAAGTCAATTATCCTTCCTAACTTCCAAATCTATCAATGGCATCATCACTTTCCCCATAACCCAGGCTCAAAATCTTGGTGTCATCGTTGACTCATCACTCTCTTTATGTCCTCAAATTCTAAATTAAATCAGTATTTCTTCTATATGTATCCCTCTTTCATTCCACTAAAATTTTTTTTATTCCAAATTTAACTCAAAAAATGAATATTTTCATATACAAAGAAAAATGAAAAAATTTTATGTGAAACTACTATTACATACAGCTTTGGTTTTTAAAAAAGTACTTAAATACAGGACATTACTTTCAAAACTGTCCCCATTTGTTTCTTTCTAAACTTAACTCTGATAACTTCTGTGCATGTTTAACAATGCTTCCATAACCTGCTTTTCTTTTACTTTGGCAATACAATCTCACCCTCACAATCCAAACCCCGCCCCCCACGCAAATGAAAAATGGAAAATTACAATCTTTGTAATAAATAAGTATAGTTAAGAAACATAAATCCACAAATATGCCATTTCCACAAAATGTTTATCTCATTCTGCACCTCGAGTCTATTATCTGTTTGTCAGGAGATAGGTGGGTAGCATGCTTCATCATTGGTACTTTGGATTTGTGGCTCAGCTTAGTTCCAAAACGATTTCCAGAATGGCTGGACAAATCCACAGCTCCACTAGCAGTGAATTAATGTGTCCATTTCCCCCAAGGGCAGCTAAGTGGCACACTGGCCCTGGAGTCAGGAAGACCTGAGTTCAAATTTGACCTCAGACATTTACTAGCTGTGTGACCCTGGGAGAGTCACTTAACCCTGTCTGCCTCAGTTTCCTCACCTGTAAAATG